CCTGGGGTGTACCGTGTCCCCTTCATACTGAGAGTTAAGGAGGCTAATTTGGAGAGCACTTCCCACGCAGTCTCATTAAATTCACTTGTTGGCAGTAAAATAGGGCAACTAGCTCAGAGTAGACAGTGAATATTGCCAATTGTGGCAAGAGATTAGTGGACAGGGTGGGCGTGTGCTGGAGTTAATGCCTGTGTTGGAGATTTCAGTGTCCAGAGTTAATAGCAGTCTGCCTCAGGCTCCTCCCACGTCACCCAGGGCCCTGCTGAGACAGGCAGCAGAATTCCAGTTACACACCAAACCAGAGGCGGGACCATGCTCAGGCTTCTGTGTGCAGCCTTGTCTAAAGCCTTTCACCTGCAGAGAGCATCGTCCCAGTAGGATGACACTTCTGGCAGGAGACACCAGGGCTTCGCTTTGAGATGTTCTGTGGCCATGGACAGTAGGATCCCATGTGTGGTGCATGCCCCAAGTTCCATGGTAGGAGCTGAGATCCAGAGAGGCTAAGGAACGGGTTCTAGTTGCCTCAGAGAGCTGACCACCAGGGAGCATTTAGTCCACACTCGTGACTTGGAGGCCAGCGCTGCCGCAGCTCATGCCATGCAGCACACACACTCTTGGCATCATGTGCTGGCACTTTCTGGGCTTCTGCAGTATTTGGATGACTTTGGAGAAGCTTCGCTAGCTCTTTGGGTCTCAGTTTCTCCAGGGGACTTGTGAGGCTGGCCAATGTTAAAAATCTGTCATGTGTTTAGGTTCTTTATTCAAGTCCCTTAAAAGGATCTGAGTCACTGATGAAAGAAACTTGCATGTCACGTTCCTCCCAACATCCACACAGTGAAGTGGTTGGTGTAGGGCACAGAACTGTGAGAGAACCATGAAGAAGCTTGGTGGATGACAGGCACCCGAGCTGGGTGAGCCCCCTGGTGCCTGTGACTGTGGTAAGTGGTCCCTAACTGGTAGAGCTCATGAGAGCTCTCCACAAGATGCCCTTGCATCAACTCCCACTAGTGTGCTAGGGGCAATTTTGCAACAACCCACCTGTTCCTGTACCCTTTTCCCTGACAATGCATACCTGTGGGTCTAGGATTCTCCGCACGTCCCACTTTTGCCGGGGGTTCTCCCAAGGAGGTGACACAGAGGAGGAGCAGTAGCTGCCAGGAAGCCAGTGAGTTCATCCTGAAAAGAGGCAGGTTCTAGGAATTTCCCCAAGGTCAAGACAGAAAGAAAGAACAGGGTGAGGTTGGGCATAGCATCAGGGCCAGGTGCTGGGGGCTGAGCCCCAGAAGAGAGAAGGCCCCTGTCTCTAGAGGCTCCCAGTAGAGGGATAGAACTGAGAAGTATGACTGACACTTGCACAGGGTCATCAGCTCAATTCCTGCAAGGTAGGCATCCTCAGGAGGGCATCCCCGAAAGACTAGTAAGACTAGTAAGGTCAGGAAGGAAGCGAGGATACCTTTGGCAGAAGGAACAAGACTGCTAGGGGTTGGAAGTGTCAAGATTCTGAATCTCAGGTTTGCTTGAGTGAAGTCTAGAGATAAGAGGGATGAGATGCAGTTTATAGGTGCGGGGACAAGGGGTCGGGATTTCAGCTCGCTGAGACTGAGGTTCAAGCCGCCTCTCTGGGCCTGGGACCATGCACTTCTCTGCTGCTGGCTCTGCACAGATCCATGACTGCTGGCTTCTGCAGCCTCCATTAGAGGACGCCTTCCCAAGCCTGGCCCTGTTCCCTCCTGCTATAATAGAAACCCAATTCTTTATCTTTTCTAGAAAAGGGAAAAAAGAGGCACTCCTCTCCCTTTTTCTCTGAACCCTTCACAACCTCAAAGACTCTTATTACATCACCTTATTGCCTATAATTCAGGGAGGAGAAAAACCTTTCTCTGACTTATCAGGTCAGTTGTCTCTGCTCTGCTCTCTGTGGGCTCAGAGAGATAGGAATTGAATTGGCCCCGTCGTTGTTCTGACTGCTGAGACGGGAGCTGTGTGTCCTGATCCTCACCTACCCTCATTCCTGTTCCCCTCCTGTGTTTCCTCCTCCCCTGCCCCACTTTGCCAGCTCCCACGTTCAATTTCCCTTGGAAACAATCATGAGGCACTTCAGATTGCCCAGTAAACATGAGAAAAGACAAAGTGCTTTTGTCCTGGCTTGTTGAGCCTGGAGCTCCTAAGCCCTCACCTTCCTCTGCTTGTCTCCCCCCACCCCCAGCCCAGCCTCCCTGCGGGACCCTGGCATGGTGCGCAGGGCCCAAATCCTGATAGGGGACCAGAACTCAAATCTGGCCTTTGTCCTGCCCTCATTCTCATGAGCCATGAGAAAGTCGCCCCCATCTCCTGGCCCCGGTGGTTAGTCTGCAAAATAAGGAAGCTGATCAGACTGACCCCCCGCTGCCTACTCAGTCACTCATGCTCACAGACTTTGACTCTGTGACATCTTAGAACCACGGCTCTCTGTGCCTGCCATGTTCCTGGGCAGGGCGTCAGGCAGAGGCAGGATTAATCTCGAAGGAGAATGATGGAAAGCATTGCAAAGCTTGGGTACAGCCTGGTTTGGAAGTCATCCCTTGTGTGGCATCAGGGGCTGTTGTGGTGCCAGGTGTGGTGGCACCAGGTGAGCTTCACAGGGCTCTTCTCCCTCCTCGGAGTGCAAGTCTAGTGTGAGAAATCAACTCTCAACCAGATGATTTTAAAATACAGCAGAGGCTGTGGGAGCCGGGAAAACTCCAGCCCAGGTGTGGCAGGGGTGGCTCGTGAGCCTGAATTGGAAGGCGATGCTGTGCAGAAGGTCCTTGCAGGACCACTGTCAGGCCCCAGCAGCAGGCAAGCCTGCAGTGCAAGACCAGAGGGCAGAGCTGTGTTGGAGGAAGAACCACACAGCGCTGCCCCCCTCAAAGGGTTGGAGGCACTCAGGGAAGTGCGTTGTTGTGACTGCATTCTGGGCTCCCGCTGCTGTGTGCGAGTGGGCATCTGGGGGCCCCACTTCCGCCCTGGGCAGCGACTTCCTACATGCATAAATGTGGGGGGGCTGCCGCCCCAACACACACTCTACACATAAAGCAGCTGCACACCACACCCGTGTGTGTGTGTGCCACACACACACTACACCCACACCCACACACATGACATATACATATATGTATATACCACAGGCCCTCTACCTATACCCATTACACCGTATACCGGTCATGCCATACATCCAACACGCATATCACACTACGCACATGCAGCAACCCCCCCAAATATACACATGTATGTACATGCCACACATACTGCACACAGCACATACACACATACCTACCATGCACTGCACAGTACATTCGCACATCACATATACATGTAGGTACACACATATCCCGCATGCCCTCCTCCACATAAACACATTATACCACATCCTCACACATGCTTCTCATACCAAACATACAAACAACACGCACACAGGATTCGCTACCTCCCTGTTGACTGTCTCATCCGCAGGGGCATGAAGTACATGCAGGAAAATGCAGTGGTTTGGGAGAGAACCTTCAGTGCTCTGGGGCCACGAGCGGTTCCCCCACCACAAAGCGTCTGGTGTTTAGTATTAACAGAGAAATTAGGGCTGGAGGTTTAGCTCAGTGGCATAAGCGCCTGACTTGCAAGCAGGCAGTCGTGAGTTCGATCCTCGGTACCGATAAAAAGGAAAAAAAAAAAAAGAAATTCCAGGCATGGTCAGAAAGCTTCTGAAATGGGGCGGCTTCCTTCCTGCAAGTGGTCCTGGTTCTTAGCGGGTAGAAGGTTCTTAGCGGGTAGAAGGCTAGCAGAGTGTGTGGGCAGTTGTGTTTGTATTTGGAGATCTACCCAAAGGAGCCTCATTGAACCCATGAACCCTGAAGGGTTCCCTGCCTCCCTCAAAGCTTCTGTGGCCTTAAATTCAGCTGCAGGGTGTTCACTGTGTTTAACGCCCAGACCCACCTACAGCAAGGACAAAGCCTTTGGGACCCCAGGGTCCTGGCCTCACGAACAAATGCAGGTTAGTGTATTCACCCAGCCATCCCAGGATAGTGGGTCAAGCTGGCACCTGGGCGTTGGGTGTCCCTGTCCTTTTGCCTCCCTGAATGCATCCCTCTCCCCTCAGTGCCCCACTGGTCAGGACAGGGATGCGCTGTGCACCTACTTTGGCTGAGCGGGAGCTCTTCGGGGTCCTGGAGAAGGGCAGGAGACGCCAGGAGTGGGTGAGCACCGGCAGGGAGACAGCTGGGCTCCTGGGCTCACTCCCTCAGCTCCTGCTCATGTCCCCTTTATCAACCCGCCTGGGTGACGTCTCCAGGCACAAGCCCCTTCTGCCTCCTCCCAGGCCCTCTTCAGAGGGCTCAGCACCCTGCCTGCCGCCTCTGCTCTCTTTCTCCTCCTCTAGAGGGGCCCCATTCATGCCTTGCATCCTCGCTGGTTCACTCCCCCTGCACCCTCTCCCACCCCCCCCCCAATCGGGAGGACCATTCTGTCCCAACAATGAGGAGCCATCTGAGGGCGTGAGCCTGTGGGAAGTGTCCCTTCCCTTTGCAGAAGAGCTGCAGCCACTCCCTGACTGAAGTGAGGCAGGCACAGGAGGAGAGCGAGGGCACAATCTGACAGAGGCACCTCCCTGCCCACACACTACCAGCCCCGAGAGGACCAGGTCAGCTCGGCCCTGACCCCGGGGCATCTCATGGGCTGTGAGGAGTGGGAGGGTGGGAGGGGGGCTCTCTCCTTGCTCTCTGCCCTCCTTCTCTCCTCAATTTCTGAGCACCTGCTCTGCACAGGGATTTAAGATGCATGTGACATGACACAGTCAGATGGCAAGCCAGCTAGGCAAACAGCTGGCTCTGAGGAAGGAGAGTAGTTGGGCATGGTGGCACACACCTGTGATCCCAGCTACTCAGGAGGCCGAGGCAGGGAGATTACATGTTCAAAGCCAATTTGGGCAACTTAGTGAAAGACCTTTCCCAAAATGTAAATAAATAATAAAAAGTATTGAATGTAGCTCAGCGTTACAGTGTCACTGAGTTTAATCTCCAGTGCTAAGAGAGGGAGAGACAGAGCAGAGAGAGAAGGGGAGGGGGGAGGAAGAGAATAAATGGTGGCCCTGTAGAGTGGATGTGCTGGAGTGCAGGTAAGTGACTTCAAGGTGGCAGTGCATCTAAAGGGATCCCAAGTCCAGCCCCTCCTTCCGCCATGATGTAATTGTGCTGGCCGGGCAAGGCCTTCCCCTTGTCCCCTGGACACTCGCTCCCATGCCAGGTACACACCGTGGATACTCGCTAAGTGCTGCTTTGCGAGAGACTGCCCTTGATCAGACTGGGCTGCTTGAAGACAGGGCTGGTCTCTGTACCCCATGAGGGTACGGAGGGTGCTCTGCAGAGCGACCGGCTCTGACAGTACATGGATTGGGGCCCGTCACCTGCCGGATGTTTCCTGATGCTGGGGCTCGCGAACATCCCACATCACTTGCTGGGATTATTAAACACCGGGAGAAAAATCACAGAGAGGAGTGCTTGCTGATCTTGATGCATCATCGGCTGTGTGGACTTGGGGTACGTGGCCTTGGGCTACCCCTAGAGGCCTGGTGTGGACTTTCTGGGTGGGGAACACTAACTTCGAGGCTGAGACACTCTCACAGCTGGAGGATTTAATCTTCACGTTCCCCTCCACTCATACAAGGAGGAATGTGCTGCCCGCCCAGTCAGGTCTCTGTGAGCTGTGGTCTCTGCTTCCACCTGTCCTGGGGGCCTTTTGAGTTGACTCGGAGGTTTGAACTCACACAGCACCATCCTTGCTTCAGGACTTGGGGAGGCCTGGCTCTGATGGGGAGTGAATCCGCGCTGGGTGGGGGCCTTCGGAATGGCCTCCGGTTTCCTTCTAGCCCACTTAATCAATGATCCAAGTTCAAGGAGCTCATCTCTGAGGTTCAGACCATTGAGCTGGTGCCTTGAAGCCTCCGGAACAGCTGTGGAAGCCAAGAATCATTACTGCAGACAAAGGGTGGGGAGCTGACTCAACCTGAGGGCCAGGGTGGGGCTGGCCTTGAGAGCTATAGTGGTGCAGTGTGCAGGCACAGAGGGGCTGTGGCATGGGCCCAGCTGGCGGGTGCATCAGATGCTGCTGCGGGGGCTCCTGGACATCTTGGCAGGCTTGGTCTGTGAGTTACTTCAGAGACGGGGTGGAGGTACCCAGGAGCTGGGAAGGCACTGCCCGCTTTTCCTGCTGCCACCATCTCTGTGCCTGGGGTCCAGACTTAGCCAGCTCTCCAGAAATCTCAGGTACTTTCTGGGAGGTCATCTGGAGTCTCCAAGCTTCCACCTCTCCAGCTGCCCTTCTCTACAGGCTCACCCAAGATGCACCTGCTGTGGCCCCCACCTCTGCCACTCTCGTCACAGGGGAAGGAGCAGGGAGAGGAAGAGGAGCGGGGAGCGGGGTGGGCGCGAGGGGAGATGGGAGGGAGGTTGGTGGGGGCACAGTCCCAACAAGATAAACACAGTGAGGGGGGAACCAGAGGCTTAGAGGCAAGAGGAGGATGAGGCAGGGAAGAGGCAAGAGGCTAACACTGAGGCGCAGTGTGAGCCACTGGAGTGCCACCTCCTCCTCAGGTGCTACTCACCGCACTCAAGAAAGGGATGTTGGACGAGTTGCTCAGAAAGCCAAAGGCCACAGGAAAAAAGCCCCTAGAGCAGAAGGGAGGAGAGGGGGCTCAGGGCCGGCTGGAGGAGGAGCAAGGTATGGAGGCTGAGGTCCCAATCAGGCTTCAGGCGAGCAGGCCCTGGGGCAGGCTTGGCGCTGCACCCCCGTGCAGAGAGGCCACAGCGGGCAGTGGTTAAGAAGGGAGTTCCTGCAGCTAGATGCCCTGCATGCAAGGTGCAGCCCCTACACACTGGCAAATTCCTTTCCTTCTCTGACTCTCTACTTCCAACTATAAAATGGGGTAAATAACAGTAACTGTTGTAGTCCCACAGCCTTTTCTTCCTCCCCTCTTTAGACTGGCTGCTCCAGATTTGCCAGGCTCTGGGCATGGAGAGTGCTGGAGGCGAGGCCACACTGGTGCTGCCTCACACCCTGCATTCTCCTTGCAGGGAGCCACCTCTGTATGCCCTTTGTGTCTTATTGTTGCCTAACACTCAAGAGAGGCCTGATGGGGGACATCTGTGTGACATGGCTGGAGTGGGAAGAAGCTCTGATTGTCCTGGTCAGGTGGGGAGATTAGAAGTTTAAATTATGAGCCAGATGTTATGGCTGACACCTAGTAATCCCAGCTACTTGGGAGGCCGAGGCAGGAAGATTGCAAGTTCAAAGCCAACTGGGCAACTGAGTGACTTTGTGAGACCCTGCCTCAGAGAAAGGAGAGAGAGAGAGAGAGACAGAGAGACAGAGAGACAGAGAGAGACAGAGACAGAGAGAGAGAGAGAGACAGAGAGATAGAGAGAGACAGAGAGAGAGAGACAGAGAGAGACAGAGAGAGAGACAGAGAGAGAGACAGAGAGAGAGACAGAGAGAGACAGAGAGAGACAGAGAGGCTGGGATGTGGCTTAATGGTAGAGTGACTGCCCAGCACAAGTGAGGCCACAGGATCCATTCCTGCACCCCTACCTCACTCACACAGAAAATTGAATTCTAGTGGAGCCCTTTGTCCCTGGGCCTCTGTCCCAGAGGGTCCTGAGGCTCTGCACTCACTTGAAGAGACTGAAGAATCCATAGGTTTCCAGGAGCATGCCCAGGAGGGGCCAGCGCAGGAGCACGATGGCGACGCCGCCCAGGAAGAAGCTGGTGCCCTTGAGCTTGTGCCGCTGGAAGAAGAAGGAGAATGTCCTCCTCAGGCCGATGATGAAGGAGAGGCCGGTCAGGAACAGCAGCTGCACGGAAGGAGCAGGAGGAGCAGGAGAAGCGTGAGGGCAGACGTGGGGCCCACGGAGCTGGGGCTCAGGCTGGAGCCTGGATCAGGCAGGGCCTGATGCCTCCAGAACCACACAGCAGGACCGATCAGGCAGAGGTGGGATCCCAGAGCCCAGTGAGTCTCTCCAGCTGGTCAGGGTTAGAGCTGCTGGGTGGCATGGGCCGGACAGGGGGCACTTAGCACGTCCCTAGAGTCTAACCCTTCTGCATCCATGGCTCCCTTTCTCATCGAGGCTCCAGGGAGTCGAGATGGACACTGAGAACCTCCCTGCTGGCAAAGGTGAAGGCCAAGGTTCCACAGCCATAACCAAAATCACCCGGAAACTCCAGGGGCTCGACAGTCTACAGAATTACACGCCAGGCCCTCCAGTCTACAGCTCTGCATGGCTCCTGGGGGACCACTCACTTTAACTCCCCAGCTGTCTCCCAGTGTGATCCATGCTTTCCACCCCGCCTCTCTATCTTTCCTCTTGCCCTTCAGCCACGTGCACAGGCTTCATCCACCTCTGCACCCATCTTCCCTCCCTCATCCTCCTCTTGCTTCTAAGCCTCTGGTTCTCCCGTCACTGTGTTTATCTTGTTGGGACTGTGCCCCCACCAACCTCCCCAGCCATGCAGACACCTGTACTGACAGGAACAGGGTCTCATCCATCAGGGAACTCTTAGGGCCCTACCCAGAGCTTGGCCTGAGAATTCAGGTCCTCAGGTCCTCTGAGCCTGGCACCCGCCTCTACCCAGGCTCAGCGATAAATATCTGACCTCTGGAAGGACAGGACGCAGGTGAACTTGGGGTTAACCCACCTGGCAGTACAGAGCTTGGGAATTTGGGACAGAGGAGGTGCACGGGACCTGGGGACTCACGTTTCCAAATGCCAGGAGCACGGAATCAAAGTACAGGAGTATCCCAAAAAGGATGAAGAAGACACCAAAGCCGGTGATGCCGACGCCAATCTCTGCAAGGGACAAGGTGACTGTGGCAGGGCAGCTGGGCAAAGGCTGACCTGAGGTCTCCCATTGCCATGGGGCGGGCACCCTCGTGGGAGGGACTCTCAGCCTCGGTGTTCTCAGGGCCCAGGGGTGGGGACAGGCTCCGGCTTTCCATATGCCATGGCCTCTGTCCTCACTGCATTCCGTAGGAGAGCCAGTACCACCCTTCCACTTCCTGTTGTCTTCAAACCCTGCATTGCCTAAATCACTTTCAGGGCTGGGTCCCTGGCTGAGCATAACCATCCACCTCCTCTGTCCCTGAGCCTGGACATGAGACCCCTGAGGCTGTCCAGATGGGGCAAAAGTGCGCCGCCACGCTGCCCCAGCCGGAAGAGCTGCAAAAGCACCCTGCTGGCTTCTCAGGTGCTCAAGGACTGGGCCTTCCTGAACCACTCTCTGCTCTCCACAGATGCCCCTGCGCCCGCTCTCAGGTGCTGGCCTCTCCCAGTGCCCGGGAAACCAAAGTCATGAGTCAGGAATGCACCACCTGCACACTGGGATTCTGCACCTGCACCCCTCAATGCCTTGTCCTGCAGCTGCCCACTTGCTCCTCAGTTACTCCCCAGCCCAAAGGGGAGCGGGCGCCACTAACAGTGCCTCCCAGCTGGCAGCTGCCCAGGGCATCATCAGAAGCTGCAGGAGTTTGCTAGAGCCAGCGAGCAGGTACCTGAGTTCAGGCCATTAAGGTCATCTTGCTTGGTTACTGGCTGCCCCGTGGATATTTCAGACAGCACCAGGGCCTGAGGGTCCTTTCGTCTCCATCACGTAAAATTGCGCATTTTACTCATCTTTATTACAATGGCAGTCAGTAAAGGATAGTTCATTTTAAAATTTAAATCTTGAATTGTGAGAAAATGCATACAACCTAGAACTGACATTTTACCTAGGTTTAAAGGGAGCATTCCATAGAGTTAAGTACACTTACATTTCTGGGCAAACAGCAGCACTCACTTGCAGGATTCTTTTCATTTTATAAAACTGAAACTCTGTACTCGCTAAACTTATTAGCCCCCTGTTTTTTGTCTTAGCTTCCTACAACCAGCATCCTTTGGTCTTTATGACTCGGACAACTCTAGGAGTTGTGTATAAGTGGAATTGTACAATAGTTCTTTTGAGCCTAGCTTTTTTCATTGTTATAATTAATGTTCTCCAGATTCCTTTAATCTGTAGCATTGCCAAAATTTCCATTTATTTGTTTGTTTATTTATTAGTTTTTGTCTTTTTGAGACAAGGTCTCACTATGCAGTTCAGGCTCACCTTAAACTCCCTTTGTAGCCCAGGCTGGCCTCAAACTCGCAGTGAGCCTCCCGCCTCACCCTTCTGAGTACTGGGATTACAGGCACGTGCCATCGTGCCTGGCCAAATACTTTTCTGCTGAATACATACACCACATTCTGCCGATCCATTCGTTTGCTGTTGGACATCAGAGCTAATTTCACCTTTTGGCTATTATGAATAAGGCCACGATGAATGTGGGAGTCAAACAAATATCTCTTGAGGACCCTGCTTTCTAATCACTCTGGTAGATGGCCAGAAGCGGAACTGCTGGATCCTTTAGTGATTTAGTCCACAATTATTTTGGAAAAACTGTTCCGCTATTTTTCAAAGTTGCTGCACCATTTCACATTCCCATTAGCAGTACGTAAGGGTCCAGTTCCCCACAGCCCTGAAACATGGTCTTACCATTGTTTTTATGGCAGCTATGCTAATGGACATGCGCTGCTCTCATATAGTTCTTTTTTTTTTCCTTTTTGGGACAGGATTTTACTATGCAGTTCAGACTGGTCTTCAACTCACATTGCAGCCGAGGCTGGCCTCAAACTCACAGCAATCCTCCTGCCTCAGCCTCCTGAATTCTGGGATTACAGACATGCACCACCATGCCCAGCCTTCTCATGGAGTTCTGATGAGCATTTCCCTAGTGGTCGGTAGCACTGAACAGCAGTTCCAGTGTTTATTGGCCATTTGCATATCTTCTTTAGAGATGTGCTTATTCAAGTCCTGGGCCTGTTTTTTAAACGGGTTATTCTTGTTCTTGTTGTTGAGCTATGTCAGTTCTCCATTCATTCTGGATGTTGACCCCTTATCAGATATGGGGTCATATGATTTGCAAATATTTTTCCCTTTCTTCAGATCAGCTTTTCACCATGTTGATGGTATCCTTTGATGCACAGAAGTTTTTAATTTTCACGCACTGTAGTTTGATCTTTCTTTTGTTGTCTATGCTTTTGGTGTCAGAGCCCAGAAATCATTATAAATCCAGTATCATGAAGATTTTTCCTATTTTTAAAGACTTTTTTTTTTTTATCGGTACCAGGGATCGAATTCACGACTGCCTGCTTGTAAGGCAGGCGCTTATGCCGCTAAGCTAAATCCCCAGCCCCCTTTTTAAAGACTTTTACAGCTTTACTTGTGCTTAGGTCTTTGATCCATTTTGAGTGGTTTTTGCAAATGATTTCAGGTAATGGTCCAACTTTACTCCTGTACATGTGGGTGTCCAGCTTTGGGGCCATCTTCCAGAGCACCATTCTTTCCCCCATTGCATGGCTGTGACACCCTTGTTGAAAATATTATTGGACTTACTAGGTAACATTTTGAGATTAATCCCCACAACTTTTATGAAATTGGAATCATTACCATGTTTTTAAACATGGTTGTTAACTGATTTCTCTGAAGTCATTGAAGAGAAAGATTTCTATTCAGACAATTGAAGGCAGAAGTCTTGTGTTCTGGGTGAATGATTTGGGGATGACAATGTACAATGTATGTATCATTGTTGCTCTGATTGACGTGTTTTGAATTTTTTTTTTCTCCTTGAAGTAGAACAGATTTAAACAAAGAAAGAAATTAGCCAGGTATGGTGGTCCACGCCTGTAATCCCAGCACCTGGGAGGCTGAGGCAGGTAGATCTGCAGGACTGTGCTGTGAGGAGGAAATGAGGTTTTCCTGTGTTTGTTCTAACAGTACCTACCCTATCCGATGCACTCTATAAGTTGCACTTTTCATTAAACATATGTAATGAACATCAAAAAATAAAAAATAAAGATGGTTGTTAAAAGTGAGGGAGCTGGGTGTGGTGCCGAACACCTGTAATCCCTGTACTTAGGAGGCTGAGGCAGGACGATTGCTGTGAGTTGGAGGCCAGCCTGGGACACAAAGGGAGTTCAAGGCCAGCATGAACTGCAGAGTAAAACTCTGTCGAAAGAAAGAAAGAAAGAAAGAAAGAAAGAAAGAAAGAAAGAAAGAGGAAACAAAGTCAAAGGGCTTCTGTAAAAGGATCATTAAAAATATAGAGCTGAGACCTGCCATTCAGATTACAGACCGACACATCACTCAATTCACGGGCCAATCTTTTGTGGCAGAAGCTGGCTTTTATCGGGGTCCAATACGGTGTCATTTCTGTCAACAAACGCCAACCAGCCCAGAATCTGTTTGCTACTAATGGCTGATTCCTCCATTTCCTGACAAACCTTCACTGCCTGCGTGGTTTGTTTCCTGTCTCTACCGCTGGTGATGCCTGCCTGCATTAAACCTCTCAGCACTCGGGACGGCTGGGCAGAGCACAGTCCCCGGGGGTCATTATGGGCTGTGTTCTGTCTCTTTACATCCCATGGCATCTATCCTCAGCAGCAGTGAGCTGAAGCTCTAGCAGGACATTCGCTTTAACTGTCACGACTCTTGCAGGAAAGGCTGTTACTGCTTCTTTCCTCTGAATGGTAAATGCTGTTTACATTTAGATGCTTGGTAGAAAGATGTCTGTTTCAGCTTCTACCTGCCACATACATTTCTGTGAAGATCCCAGTTCTCCTTCCTTCTGCTTCCCTTTGAAGATGTCTTCATGTGGAGACAAGATGGGAACATTTTTCAGAGCACATTTTGTTTTGTTAAAATACCTGCATGTCCACCCTGTGCATGCTACGAAATGGTCCCTTACTCATTTTGTAGAAAGAGCATGAGTTTCTCAAATTTGCAATCCGTGCGGTTTTTGAGAAGCCCTGGCAGCAGACACTGCAGGTCTTGGGTCTGTCTGCTCCTGTTGCTGCATCAGTGCTGAGAAACTGGGCCGGCAGGCAGGCCATGCTGGGGACAGGCCTCTGAGGACTCAGACACACAGCAGTGGAAGGGAGCAGAGGCAGAGACTCTCAGAGCTGGAATGAGCCTCACCAGCCACAGCCGAAGACCCTGGCAAAGGTATGTGCTGCCTTGATCCAATCACAGAGGAAAAGTCTCGAGACCCCACCAAGACAGAATCACTGTGGAAGACTCCCTGTGGAGAAGGTTCTGAGAAGGTGACTGAGTCCTGCGGTCTGAGATGGTGACGCTGATTCCTCCCATCAGCACCAAGTCAGGTGTGAGGTCAAAGTCACCAGGGCAGACGCCCAAGTCGTCTATGGTCCACATTCTCCTGCTTCGCAGGCTTGTGACTGCACTCTTCCAACTGTTCCACACACTTCTTCATGGGCAGCTGTCCTTCCAAAACGTTCTCGGGTCAGTGGCAGCTTTCTTTATGGGTCATACTTGCTGCCTCCAGCATTCAGGGGGCACAAAAATACACAGAAAGAGAAGGGGCTGGGATGCAGCCCCATGGCTGAGCACTTGCCAGGTATGCGTGGGGCCCTGAGTATAATCCTCAGTCCTGCAGAAAACAGCACAACAACAACAAAACAAACACAACCCTGCCCCCAGTAAAATGGTCCAGAAATGGTTTCTCACACACGAGCTTCAGATTGTCCAAATCCCGCCTCTGAAGAGGCTTTGCGACCCAGGTTGCTGCTAAGTTTGCCTCCAGGGGCAGCACCCAGGGTTCCCTAGTACCAATGCTGTCTGGGAGCCGCTCCCCATTCTCTGATCCCCACAGCCGGGAGCGCGCCCCCTGCTGGACACATCCAGAACTGTCTCGGAGCCCGCGGTGGGAGGATAAGGGTAGCCAGGGCTTCCCAGGGGCCTTAGCAGGAGACCACAACTCCCAGACTTGGCACCCAGCCTGGTGCTCCCACTCTGCTGCCAAAAAGAGCCCACAGTCCTGCTTGATTTTTTTTGTTGTTGTTGTTAAACCAGAGATTGATATTAGGGCCTTCAGACTGAGCTGCATTCCCAGTACCTCACCTTCTTTTAAGTTATTTATTTATTTATTTATTTTTTTGGTCTTTTTTCGTTTTTATCGGTACCAAGGATCGAACTCACGACTGCCTGCTTGCAAGGCAGGCGCTTATGCCGCTGAGCTAAATCCCCAGCCCCCTAGTCTGTGCCTATTGACATAAACAAATCTGCTTTCAAATTCTGAGTATGGTTTGGGTGTTTCTGATTGCTGTTGCCAGCTCCTACATCTCCCTCTCCTCTTGGGGTGTGAGCTGCTCAGGGCTCGGCTTCCTTGGTTCCCATGTGTTTTCACCGCGTTCCTCTGTCCTTAACTATCACATGTGCGCTGACAACACCTGTGTTTGTCCTTACAGTTTAAACCTCTCTTAAGCCCCAAAGTGGACGTATGTCCTGCTGCTCCCTGGCACATTGGCTCAGTTTTTCCTCATGTAGTTTGCACCCCAGGTCCCCACTGAGCGATTCAGTTCCTTGCTGCATTTCCCCTGGTTTCCCCCAGTGAGTGAAAGGGGCTCCAGCACCCGCCCAGCACCTGAGGCAGACGGAGAGAGCGGCTCTCCCCAGTTCACTGCGCAGCTGATTGATTCACTGATTGGCTGCCGGACTGGCAATCGACCCCAAGGCCTTCACCCTGGGCTACATCCTCAGCCTCCTTTTTTCATTTTATTTTGAGACAGGGTCTCACTAAGTCACTAAACTGTCAAGGCTGGGCTCAAACTTGCAATCCTCTTGCCTTGGCCTCCTATAATGCTGGGATTATGGGTGTGCACCACCACACCCGTCTCCACAGCAAAGCTTTGTTGCTGCTTTTTCCAAAATGTACCCTGAAAGCTATTCCTGTCTGCCACTCTCACCCTTAGCTTCCAGCCACCTCTGTTTTTCGCTCGGACTCCTGCAGCAACTGCATCAAATCTCTTGTAGTCCCTTCCAGTCCTGCTCCACACGGCGCCCAGAGAGCTTGAAAACTATCCCATGAGTGGCTTCCCACTAGCGTGGAGTGCAGAAGTACCTGCAGGGAGGCTGAGATACCGCCCGGTGGCCTTGGTGACTTTAGGCCATGGTACCCTGGCCACTCCCTGTCTCTCCCTCCCTGCAGCCAGTGCCCTTTGCGGGTCTGCAGGCTCGGATGCTGGCTGCTGACCAATATCTCACCCGATGCCAGGAGCACAAACACTCAGTGTGCCTACCACGCCTCTCCCATCCCCTCCTCAACCTGCCAGGGCCCGGCCAAAAGCCCAGGGTATTCCTGACCCTTCCCTCCCTCAGGTCCTACATCCCGTCCACTAGCAAGTGGCTCACCACACAGCAGACACGGACACTCGCTCGTCACTGTGGACACCTGGCTTCCTCCACCTGCCTTCTCTGTAGGACAGCCTCTTCCTGTTGCTACCCTTATCCCTCTATAGTCACTCAACCTGGAGTCCAGAGCGACCCATGTCTGTACCCATGTGATCTAAATCTCTCTAGATCTCCACACATACCTATGTCTGTGTATAGCTCACATCACTCCACCAGCCAAGGCCTCCGGTGGTTTCCCATCATGTAGTGCAAGGTCTTCACATGGCCCGTGGTCTGGCCCCTCAGTGCCCTTCTTGACCCCAATACTCCCTTTTACTAAGGTTGTTCCATCACATTGGCCTCCTTGTTCTCCAGACACCATGTATGCTAATGCCCCAGGACATTTGCATAGGCTGCCTCCTCTTCCTGGAACAGGTTCCCCCCAGACAACCGAATAGCTTTGCCTCCTCACTTCCTATAGATGACTGTATGAAAGAGCGCTTCTCAGCCAAGCCTCCCCTAGCCACTTTCTCTGAGACAGCAGCCCCTCCTGCTTCTAGCCCCCTTGCCCTGTTTTGTTCTCCTCTGGAGGATTCAGTCTGACATGTTACCATTTACTTCCTCATCAGTTCATCACCACCTCCCTCTCTGGGTCAGCGTCTGCCTCTCTGTTATCTGCTCCCTGCCCAGCACAGTGCTTGGCACCTGGCAGACACAGCTGAATTCAGGGAGCTCAGTGAAGTTCAGGGACTTTGGTCACTCACTTACCCAAGCCCACGGAGCCAGGTCCCACTCTGCATGGAGTCTGTGAGTCCCCATGGGCCCCGCCCCCAAGCAAAGGGAAGGATGATCCAGAGTGAGGGTACAGGGGTGTGGACAAGAGAGTGGAGTTCACTTTCTGCTGAGAAGAAACCTTAGGCTTAAAGATTTGTGGGGAAAGCTATGGGAACAGGCAGAGGCCTCCTGGGCCCGCCTGGGCTGCATCCCAGCTCCGAGGACCCTGGCCACCTGAGCAGCCCTCAGCCCCTACAAGATAGGGCCATGCCCGCCTGGGCCTGCGGTCCAGAGATGCCAACACGGCAGCTCCGCTCAGTGGCTCCAGAGGTCACAGTCTGTAGGTTCCCCGGAAGATGCAGGTCAGGAGGGGTGCAGTCCCCCACAGCCCCACCCTGGACCCCACTCCAGCCCACGTGTTGGCCTCAGCCACTCCACTCACTCTGGCCCTCGCTGATGGAGATCATGCTGTGGGCCGCCTGGGGGGCCTTCTGGCTCGCTGGCTGGAGGTGAGGGCCCAGAGGATGGAGCCTGGGCTGCTCCCGTGAAGCTGACCCTTGGTAAGTAAGGAGGAGGCGCTGGTAAATCATTAACCCCAACCCCTCACACTGCCCACGGTCAAGCTGGCTGCTTAAAGCCGCAGGCTCCCGAGAGGCCACTGCCACCCAACCCTTTTCACCGGCCTTTCCTCATACAGGTCCCATCTGCTCTGCAAAAATTGGATCGTATACGGAAGAAATAGGTTCTGGAGTGTCCAGGGCTCCTTGCTTGGTTTGGTAGGACGTATGGGAAGACTTGGAATCAGTTGGTCTCTTTGGAAATGTACTAAATTCATCTTGAAGGTTTTTTTGTTTTGCTTTGTGCAGTCCACATGCTAGACACAAGGGGGCAACAAGCAACTGATATAACGGGAGAAACAGATTTGGGTGAATCAGGGCAAATGTGCCACAGGGGACCCAGACTACATAGGAGTCAGCCTTCTTTCCCTCAGCTTTGAACCATGAGGTTAAGCTACAGACGACAAAGCCTTGCAAGTGGGGTAGGGATGGGGCTAAACAATTCAGAAGGCCAAGTTCTAGTCCACCCAGCAGCTGTGTAGACCTGGGAGCACCCTCCCTCCTTGTGAGCTGTGGAAAGGGAGGGCACACAGGTCCTCAGGACCTTTTCCTCCGCTGCAGAGTGGTGGCTAGAGACACCACTGTAGCCAGCTCCCCTTTGAAATTTGCTCTTTACCCAGAGATGAGATGCACCGATCACACAGCCCATCTTAATACATTTAAAAGCTCAAGTAAAGCTAACTCCACTGAATAGTAATGCAGTAATAATTTACATTGCAACATGATGTTTCTCAACATATAAATGTTCAGGGAAGGCTCACCAGAAACCGTACATGACATAGGCTGACAGTGGGCCTTATCGTAACTGAGCTTTAGTAGAAGACTAGCGCTATTCCATACAAAAGCAAAAGCCATGCACATCAGAAGACAAAATAGGGAGGGCACACTAGTTTATTGGAAAGAAACTAATGATAGGCAGGTGATGAGAGACTGGACGTACTCACACATGAGAGGGAAATCTCCTCAACGGAAATCGGGGTGGCATGTGTGTACAGCAAAGCAGATTGGAGGCAGTGGGGTGTGTGTAGACCTGAGTCCTCAGGCGCTTGTGAGTCATCACAATATTTCACAATGCTATGACATCAGGTGGGGGTTACGAGGCAACACTTCAGACACAGATTCCGATACTGAAACATTGTCGTATCTAGAGGGAAAATTCAGCTGCCTAAGGTCTGTGGGGCACAGAGGATGGATCGGGAACAGTGAGGTGCAAAGGGCAGGTCACAGCGATTGCACGTGGGGCCACAGGACAGTGTCAGAAACACAGGAGGTGACGGCCCCAAACACCTCTACATGTAACTGTTATGACGTAGATGGTCACCATCGGGCTGCAAAAACTTTAAAAATATATAAGATGGCAAGAATATGAAATAATTTCTGAAATTTTTTATTAAGGAGACCCAATGAGCACTCTTCTATGTCATAGATCTATTTTCTTTCTTCCTTATTTTTTTTCTTTTTTTCTAGTACTGAGGCTTGAACCCAGGACCTTCATGTGAGCTTTTCTTCACAGTAAGCTTCACCCTCGCTTTCCTTCCTTTCTTTTCTCTTTTCTTTCTTTCTTTTTCCTTCCCTCCACCCTGCTTTACTTGAAGTACCTCTGCTTTAAGGAGGTTTGGTTTTCTGGCTCGCTGTTCAATGTGGTTAGTCCATCCCTCTGCTTATTTAGAACACTCCACTGCATCTTGGAACTATTTTCTACTTAATAAGTAGTAGTTGTGATAGAATTTTTGGTGAGGCTAAAAAGATAGAAATATGAAATAAAAGTGGCCTTTATTTTAAGAACGCAGAGAGAGAACCCCACTACCACTGAGGTCTGGCTTTTCTCTCTGCCGGACACGTGGTATGGGGGAATACATGTAGCTTAGGTTTGGGGTGGTGCCTAAGGGGCATTACTGATGCACAAGTAGCCCATTGGAATTCATTTTGTGCCACAGGTAAATTGCCTAGGGGTAGGAAAGATGACCTCAAGATTCAGCCCCTTGTTCTGCCTCCCAGCCTCCCACCACTGCAGCGTCCCATTCAGGGCAAAATCATTTCAGTTGAAATGTTGTAATACATTGTGTAGCCAATGCATTGAGTATGTTATTTAGGAATAAGACAGTGTCTCCATTGCATTTTAAATGTCTTCTCCACAGTAGTCATCTTCTCACTTGCCAAGTCATTCATGAAACTCATTTAAAAACAACTTAAAAGTTTACAAAAAATTTTAGTGGTAGTATGAAGTATAACTGTCTTATACTGGCAGTGGGTTTTAGCCCAGTTCATATATTGTAAACTTGTACAGGATACATGACAATTGTTTTACCAATGTACACAGTAGTCACTAAATGTCAATAAAGAATTCTGCTTGCCTTGTCTAGAACATTGCCCATCCATTGCCAAAATCCCCCTTTGGGGCCAGTATGATTCCCACTGAAACCACCCATGGCTTGAGAGCTTGGGCTCTAAAGTCAGTGATCCATGCTTCACCCTAGCTTCATGGGCCCCAGCCATTCCATTTACCTTTTCCATGTCTCAGTTTCTTGCATAAGAATAGTACGTGTCATGTAGCAATGTGAGGATTGGTAAGAACTGGTTAGCTGGCTTATGGTAAACACCTCCGGAGCCATTGTTACTCGGACTAGCATACTGTTAATATGACATTACCCAAGGCTGCTTGTCTCCAACTGTTCTAAGCTGCTCCCACAGGGGAAATAAAGCCGCAGCTAGGAACCCCTCTCTACCTTCCCACGGCCAGCTATGGAGCCCACAGTGAGCACAGGAAAACTAGACCTGAAACGGGGTCCCTCAGGCCCGAGTCTCTGGGGACTTGTGCTGCTCAGCGGGGTTCACAGCTGGCTCTCCTGGAGAGGGCCCTTCATAGAGTTGGCCCCAGGAAGAGTGTGTCAGTCTTGTGGCCAGGCCAAAAGGGCACGATTTCCAGGAGTGGGCTTGCGAAAGCTTCCTTGAAGGCAGCCAGGGACCTTCCCAGCGTCAGGTGAGCCCTCCCTCATGACCATAAACGCATGTGAATCTTCAAAGTGGTTTTCATTCATTTTCTCAATTGGCTTTCTTGAAATTTCTTAAGATGATGATAATATCCTCAGATGAGCAAACAAAGACAGAAGAAGCAGAGTAACTTGTCCAGGTCTTCATGCAACCAGGTACTGGGCATGACAGGCCACTTTCTCTCTGCCCCCTCACCTCGGGACCTGGCTGCATGCTGGTGGCTTACGAGGAGGAAGAAGAGTAAGGTGCGCTCCTGTGTAGCCCCAGCAGGAGACACCTGGCTGCCTGCCTGGTCACCTGCTGTGCTGCCCACCGTGCCTGATTGCACATTCACCAGTCCCTACCTAGCACTGCTTCTCAAAGGGCAGGCCAGGAGCGGCTTCATTTGCATCACCCAACTGCAGATCCTTTTTAAGAACAGCCTGGCCTGGGGGGAGGGTTGGCCAGGGCCAGGAGATGGAGCCTTTGGGCATCTGTTGGCAGGTCCTTCTGCAATACCACAGTCCACACCTGGGCAAGCCCCTGCAGCTGACTGTGGTCCAGGTGAGGGCTCCAGACAGAGGTGCAAAGTGAGTTTTCTAACACAAGTCTCAAGGTGTCTGTGTGAGCCTAAATCTGGTCTTGTCCTGTTCACAAAGGATATCAGCGGTTACCTTATAAACTCCCAAACCCACATTTAAAACAATGAACACCCACTTTAGTGGCTCTTTAGAGATGAGAACAGTTGTCTGGGGACTTACCATCCGCCAGAATAGCCAAACCACTGAGAAACAGGAGCTGGAGGAAGCTTGCCTCCCTGCCTCTCCTCAATATTCTTCTGTCTTGCCATCACACAGAAGCCCAGCTGAGGAGGACAGCCACTATCTCAGGCTCACTTTTCTCTCCCTGATCCCTCTACAAAAGTTACCAGGCTTCTTGAGTTCTAGTAAAGCCCTTCATGCGCCAATATCTCATAGCTACCAAACACCTGCCAGAAGAAATAATCATAAGGATCAAGACTGGGTAAGAATTGGAGAGGTCTCTCTGAAACTCCCTCTGTACTGTACCATACATGATCTCATGTCCAGAGCAGTCCAGAGCAGCAGTACAGGACCTTGTGTAGTAACTGAGAAAGCCTGGGGATCCTCCACCATTCTCCCATCTCAGAAGCAAGTCAAGCAAGTGTCAGAGCTGGAAGCTCCAATACCTTATCACCTGGGGCTCCAGATGACCCCTAAGTCAGGGTCACCTGCATTGAAACATGAGCCTGGTGTTGGTGGCAAACTGTCAGCTCCCAGGAGGCAGCGCTCTTTGAATTCCTGTGCAGCAGAGTCAGAGAGAGGGGGCTGCTGAAGACTCACTCCCCTTTCCTGCCAGGCCCCAGATGACCAGCGACCAGGAGGCTGACACAGATGCAGCGCGGGAGACACACACCACGGGTACAAACTGTTCATTTTATTTTCAGGATTGGGTTTATACAAACTTGCAATATACAAATCGGAACTCAGAGAGATTCTGGAGTGGCTAGATGGAGTAAGAATGCTCCCTATCTCAGTCAGGATGTCCCTCTTCCCCACGGAGGGGTTGTTGGCCAGATATTTGCTAAAGAAATGATGCTACTGCAGTTTGGTCCCAACAGAGGTGCTCTGTGTCTCTAACCTTAACTCTTCACCTAAGGTCACTTGTATTCTAAATAAAGACACTGAGATCATAAAGTTCCTTATATGGTTTATTGTCTAATTCTAGTAAATCAAATTGGCCCCAATATGTGCATAAATAGATATATGTATATATATATATAACATTTTTCCTTAGTTTTAAGAGCTGCCAGGTAGAGGAGAAAGGAAGTGATCCCATCTTGTTGCAGTCAGCCCTGCCTCAAAACCATGCCTCTCGCACAGGCAGCAGAGCAAACAGGCTCAGCTTGCACCTGGGAAGGTTTCTAAAGTGACAGCAGCAGAGTTCAGTTGCAGCCTCTGGTTTCTGATCAGGAAGGTGATGGGCTAACCGGGAAGAGCCCAGGGGAGTAGCCAAGGCTTTCCACGGGAGGACTCCCTAGCTCTGGGCTTCCATCTGGGCCCTATTCACTCAGAGCGAGGTGCTCTAGGCTGGGAATACAGTGCCAGCAAATGCACAGTTGGAGGTTAGGCTTCAAATGCTGGCTAGGAGCTGTGTGCAAAATTCCAAAACTCTTGATTTCAGATCTGGACAGACTTCTATCCTCCCCCCATCCCTGCAAGACAAGAGCCTCCCCGCTCAGGCTCACAATCAATAGGCAGTTTCAGAGGCTGAGCTGGCATAGTTCAGTGCCCCAGCAAGCAGCCTGCAAAAGCCCTGGCATTTCTTGGGCAAAGCTGAGATGTTACATTGTCAGTGGGACCTTCCCTAACCAAGAAGGTGACTTCCCAGTCTGGATGCCAGACTGAGGTGCCATCCCCTTAGGAACTGGTCCAGAAAGAAAGAAGCCAGATGCCATAAGTATGAGTCCAACCAGAAAGGAATCAAGTACAAGTGTGAGAAGTCCAAGGAACTCAGATTAAGAGCAGGGACAACACAGAGGACCCCAAGCCACTTCCTCTGGGCCGTGCACCACGTCACAGGTCCAGCAGGGAGCAGGACACCCTAGCACTACGCAGCATGGACTGCCATGAAATTCCACCCTTTCCAGCAGCACCAGGGCAGGTGGCCAGGAGCCCTGAGGACGTGTGCCTGCCCTCGTGTCCTGCACATGTAACTGTAAACATTTCCTCTAAGAGGACTCGGGCACCGACAACCCTTACTGTGCCCCAAAGAGCTGACAGTGTCATCAAATCCTTGGAGCAAGGCTTCATAGGGAAAGGTCTGTCCTGGCAAGATGCTCCCTGGTGAGCCCTGGGGCCCTGCCCTTCCCTGACTGTGTGATGGGAAGGCAGGAAGCCGTCAAGAAGAGGGACGGGCACAGGACTGGGGTTCAGCAGCTGCCACCCCCTTCTTGTCACATCACTAGCCCATCCAGTCAGACATTGCACATTTTGAAAATAGGTTTGCTTTTTAAACAAAAGCATAAAATAGATCTGTCTTAAAATAAGTCTTTCCTCTCTCCCCTTCTTTGGATCAAAAAGGCAAGGGGTATGGCCTCGACATGCTAGGAACGGTGTGGGAGACAGCGGGCCCAGGCAGGAGCTGAGGAAAGGACTGATATCCAAACGGACAAATATATTACAGTGATATCCAGAACATGAATCATCTCCATAAAACATATATTAAGGCATGTAAAGCAACACAAGGAGCTGGCTTTAGGACACAAGGGCAGAGAGGCGGCAGAGGTGAAGTTATTTCTCAGGGTTTTACATGTATATTTCTAAAAATACCACTTTAAAAAAAAGGAGAGACAGCTAAAGAAAGGCAAAGGCATGGAAGGCCCTGAACAATCTGTTTCCTGTGGAGGGAAACGGGAGAGGGTGACCGGGGAGCCAATCCCACCTACCAGCGTGTAAAAAAGAAAGAACAGATTTGGGGTTCTGGAGCTGTGAAGATGGGAGATGTAGCTGGGGGTCATTTTCATGTACCAAAAAACCTGCAAGAAGGGAAAACAGGTGAAATCCTCCCAGTCATTAGTCCCTCAGAAGCATGAGAATATCCGAAGCACCTAGAACAGTGCCTGGTTCATAAAAGGTGCTCGAGCAGTGTTTGTTGAATGAGTTGTCATCTTTGTTTGCATATGAGCCAGCCATTCCAGCCATGAAGGAGTGGAGAGAAACCGGTGGGAGGGAAGCAGTTGTCCTTGGTGCTGCTGCTGGTCACGGTGGAGTCTCCAGCAGCCAACTCTGGGCCAGGTGTCCTCAGTTTCCCCCTCCTTTGTCCTCTCTGGCTACATTCATCCCAAGGTGGCTGGGGCAGAGGAAAGACGTGCTCTGCTTCTGTCTCTCCCCCAGCAGCCTCCCTGGGTAGGTGGATGGTAAACCCAGCCTGGTCATCCCTCTCTAGATGCCCGGGATGAGGGATCAGGCCTAGAGGCTGGTCCCCTAGACTCAGGCCTCCTTTCCTCTCCTGGGGACAGGAGCACTGAGAGGGAAAGGGGCAAGAAACTGGCTAGGGAAGGCGTAAGGCAAAGCACACCCTACAGAAGAAAGGTCCTTCCCTCTGCCCCTGACCCCGGGAGGGAGGCGCAGATACCAGGCCCTGCTCAGGAAGGACCGCCTCCTGGGCTATCACTATGGACACTGCATCCCTCACCCTTTCCTCGGTCCCCATACCAAGCACCTCAGCTGAGGCCACTGCACACCCTGCTGGCAGGTCCCCTGGGTCTAGCTCCTCCTGCGGATGAGGTGGAGGTGCAGAGGTGACTCTGCCTTGCACTCAGCGCTGACCTTAGGCTTCATGGGAAAGCCCATCGCATCCTCCTCCATTTTCCCTGCCCTCTTTCTTGCAAACTCCTCCTCCTCCCTTCCCCACTCTTCGGGACCTCTCCCTTCCTCTCTGCTACCTCTTCTCGACCTGACCTCAGACACTGCACAGACCTGCTGCTCTCCATTCACAGCCAGCTCTGTCCCCTCCGGGAGCCCAGGAGCCTCCCCCACTCCACCCCTACTTATCCTCTTGTCTTTGGCTGAAGCGGGGTGGATATCTCCACTGAACCCCAAGAATCTCTATCAGCAGAGATGTGGCAGAGCCTAGGACACAGCTGGGGCACACAGGGAGGAGGTGATGGCAGGTGCTGTCCTTGGCATTGAGGGTCCAGCTCTCCTTTACTTCCAGTCTTCACTAGGACAGCCGATGGCATGTTCCCCACCAGGGTGCCTTCTCCACCAGGGAATGTTCATGTAGGGCCACCACCTTGCCAGCCAAAGCCAGGCAGGGGCTCCCTGTGACTTGAGCGTCAGAGAGGACGGCCTCCCCACCTCACCATCCCAGTTCTCGCTTAGGACCACAGCGTGAGCAGCGGGGTTTCAGGTGTCCACACTTCTGCGGCAGCAGCCCTGGCCCCCAGCCTGGCTCCCTGCAGCACTCTCATGGGAGCGTAGGAATGGGGGCCAGGGTGGGCAGCCAGGACCTCAGTTAGGCAGAGGACGCTTCAGAACGTGGCTCTGTGGAGCTTCACAGCATTGGCCTCGGCCAGGGCTTGCACTGGAAAACAAAGAAATGAGGTGAGAAGAGAAACACAAAGACCAGGGGCTTCTGCCAGGCTCCTGAAGAAGAGAAAGCCTTTACAGAGCTGTCAGGGGCCAACTGCCCCAAAGGGCTCAGAGATACAGTGGTCCGTGGTCCTCCCCATCTGCCTGGTGCTGGGCGGCTCTGTGATGTGGCCCAGGGAGGAGCGAGCCTTGGGCTACGCAGCCCAAGGGTCTCTCATCATCCAGTAGTCTAGGGGAGCAGAGGCCCTGCTCCAGGGGCTTCTGAGGGGTCTGTGGCAGGCTTGCCATGTGTCTCAGCGGACACAGTGGGCTGACAGGACAGGGTGAACAGGCGGGGCTCAGCGCCATCTCCTGTCTGCTTCTGGAGAAGCAAAGGCTGTTGGCCTCGCCACATCCAAGAAGCAGCACCGCCAGGCGGCTGCAGCCAGCACTGCACAGGGACGCTGTTGGCTCAAGCGGACTATGGAGGGGAGAATGCTAGGGGCACGGGGTGGAAAGAAGCAATGCCAGAATGAGGGGGCAAAAGTAGCTCAATGGGGGCAGGGAAGGGGGACTCATTCCCTGGGGAGGGTGGAATACAGTAGAAAAGTGCTTACGTCAGAGCTCAGACCCGCAAGGCATGGCTGCTGTCGGCACCTCGTGGGCATTCAGACGAGAGGGGGTTGGCTGGTGGAGTCGGGGAGGCAGGGGAGGTGGGAGGGCTTGGGGTGGCGCATTGCACTGGAACAGAAATGAACAGGGCGGTGAAAAGGGGTGGGGGCACGGGCTGGGGGAGGCTGTGCACACAGAGCAGGTGAGGCCACCCCATGGGCAGGTGGGGAGCAAGGAGGGGAGGCAAGCGGAACGGAGAGCTGGCTCAAGCGGAGGCAAAGCTGTCTCTATCTCAGGACATCAAGGGCCTGTCAAAATCCAGGCTCCACTAAGAACCAGTGTGACTCTGAGTGAGGCTGGGCGGTCGCTGGGCCGGAGGTTCCTTCCCATCTATAGGCAGGGAGGCAGGCACCTCTCAATTACTGTGCAGACTGAAATAGGGAGTGGCAGTTGACAGACGGCGGCAGTGTCACTAACGATAATGATTAATAGTGCACTAAAATCACACTAATCCAAGTTTGTGAGCAGGCACAAGAGAATGACTGCCAAGTAAATCCCTGCATGAATCAGAGCTTTCTGAAAAGTGTAAAGTCAGTTCTATGGGTTTACACATGTAAACGGCCACCATCATGTAAGACCCTCTTTCAACAATACAGTAAAGGCAGCTGTGGTCCTAAGACGGTGACATTTGGATTAGTGAGACTTTTACTCTATTATCATTATTCCACGTTGAGAATAGCAAAGTGTAAGGACCAAGAAGGGAGTCAAATCACTGGGGACAAGTGGTCTGCGGTCACCAAATCCTGGTGCATCTTCTCTGTGGCAGAGGGCAGGCACAACAGGATGTTGAGGCAGACAGGATGACTTTGCATGTGGACTCAGAGAGGAACCAGACCTCAGCCAGGGTCACACTGCACTTCCAACAAGTGGGATGCGACGCTGAACTTCTCAGTTCTTTGCTTCCCAAAGTCCCGCTTTGGGCCTCATCACCTCCCCTGCCCTCTGTGGCAAACTAAGGGCCTCAGTGACCACACACACCCATGTAGCTCTCACATGGATGTGAAGTTGTGTCTGCCTGAATGCAACACATAGCTCGTGCCTGGGGTGTGGCAGCACTCACTGCATACAACTCAGACTGTGAGTGTCCGTGCATTCTCAAGCCCGTGTCCTTCCACGTGGCCCAACACACTTGGAACGTCACGTACAAATACACTCATAAATACTTTCAGACACACGTTTGTGTGCATATCCACATCCCAGATCCAACAGTTAGTTATCTGGCGACCTCAACTAAAACAGTCAAAAAACTGACAGCGAAACAAAGAATACTCAAGAAGCCAGAATACATGTTGCAGTGTGTATGGGCCGAGGCTCTTATGATTTCTTTAGGGGAGAGACTTGAGGAGCCCCGCTGGTCTCCTAATAGGTGTTGACCTGCTGGGGATCCGGCCCACAGGAGATCAGAAACAGGAAAATTAAGGGCAAGGGGTGAAAGACCCACAGAATGTTCAGGAAATACAACTGAAGACAGACTTCTATAAAAAGTAGGCGGAACTTTTAAAATGTAAACATGCACAAACATTTAGCAAGGCTACAAATAGATCTATACATATGGCAGCCCCTAAGGGCATCCCTTTCATAGGAGTCAGGAAAATAGGGTATTTCATGGAGGTGGACTTTCTGGAGGTGGAGAAGGAGGCGAAGGAAGGGTGGGAGAAAAGGAATACAAAATGGTCAAGATTTTATATACATACATATACATAATTCCCCAAAATAAACATCATTACTGGTATCACAAACACATACTAATATAATAGTTTTTTTAATATAATGTTTTTTAAAAAATAAGGATATTTACAATGCTATTAAATGAAGAAAAGTTAATTATATGAATATAACCTCCTTAAAAGAATATTAAATGTATATTAGGAATATATCCATCAAAGTAGTTAAAATTCATATGTGTAACAGGTGCATGTTGGACATATGTGATGTAATATGTGAGGTCGTAAGTACCACCACACCCGTGTGGTGAAGTGACATACATGTCATCCAAACACACACACACGAGCTCCACTCTCACATGCAGATTTATGTTTGCAAAGACTAAAATATATACACGGGAGGGCTTTATCATTCCTTATACTGTACAGAAAGCCAACCACACATAAACATGTGTACTCACAAACATTACATACATGCATACCCACACACACCACATACATGCATACCCACACACACCAATCACTTACCAGCTGCCACTTGGACTCACATACACAGGTCTCCGTGTAACACCCACAGACACGGTGTGCATGTGCGCACACACACACATATCCCTATATTGGCACTCATACATTGCCTCCACCTGCATGCTGTACATGTGAACACACACAAACACACACGGGTCTACAAATATAACTGGATTTAGACACCGCACGTGACACTGATGCCACGTGCAAAACCCAGAAGCGCTGCCTCTTCTCACTTGTGTCTGCACGCACCAGGTGAATCTGCAAACTTCACAGCTCTCTCCACTGATTACACTGTTTGCCACACAGCCACACTCAGGCACTGAGCTCCACTTCCTGAGCCTGCTGTACACTGTCCTCATGACCTGTGCCGAGTACTGCCCCTCTCCCACAGTGTCCTGGGCATGGACCTATGACCAACAACATATGCCCAAGACCAGTCCTTGTGCTGGGGGATCTGGGCCACAGGCCAGAGGCAGTGGGGACAGTGGGCTAGGTCTGAGGTCTGGCCCTACTACAGCCATTTTTTACATAGTTGGGGTTTTGGCACAAGCAAGGTGACCGACCATTTGCTAGCAGCGCACAGACCCGAAATGCAAGCCCCTGTGCACGGAGAAGGACATCTGACAGGCAGGGTGGGTTTGTTTTCATGGGACCTTAGGCTGAAGAGCTGTGAAGAGAGAGCCAGGGCAGGGGCAGGGCGGAGGATGTTTTAAAATGCATTGTATGCTCTACACTCCTCAAACAGGAAATTGCCTTTTGCCCAGAATATGTGGAATTTGATCTCTCGGTGGTTTGAGTTCATTCTGCAGCTAAACTACAGGAAGGTTCAACAGAGGCCTCCCTGCTTGCCGCCAAACTGGTTCTGCGACTTTCTGGCTGCAGGAAGGCTTTCTCTGTTCCCTCAGCTCCAACCCCACTGGGCAGCTTGTCTCTGAAGGACTTCAGGGTGCCTTCTCAGGCAACGATTCCAAAGTTTTTTATTCCCAAGGATTTTCTCTTAGATTTTACTTCAATCCCATTTGTTGTGGTCTACAGCTCTGTTTCCGTATTCAAAAACAATTAGAAAAATCATAGGCGGGTCCATTTCAATTTCAGCTACTGCTACTTCCACTACTTCTACCAACATCACCAACGCCACTGTCACAATCACAGCTACGACTGCTGGTTCGGCTCACATTTATTGAGCGCCAAGTGCCAGGCACTGTGCTAGGAGTTCGGTATGCATTGCTTCTGACTGAGGCCACCCGCACTGGAGGCAAGGATTCTGGTATGAATTTTACAGGCAAGGAAACCGAGCCTCAGAGTGGCAGATTTGCACCTTCCTTGGTCATCGGCGTGCACTGCCAGCCTTTGACCACCCCTGCCTTGGAGCTCACCGCACACTGCCTACCTTTTCGCTAGGCTGTGGTAACTGCACTCTTTATACTTAGTCCTTCTCCTCTCCCCAGATCCCCTCAATCCAGGCTCCCTTCAGTGTCACTTCTCTTAGCGGTGGCCTTCAAAGTCCTCACTTTGGATAAGGACAATCTCCAGGGGCCTTGACTTGACCACTGTTTCCCCTCTCTCACCCCCATTCATAGGAAATGGCCTTCATTCTGCAAAGCCCAATCATGTCGCCATCTATACCATGATGCTATCTGCCACGCAGCAGAAACAGTCCTGCTGACTTCCACCCATCACGTCTGCCAGGGGCCTTTGTACGCGGGTGAAGCCATTTCCTCATTTTCATTTCTGCTCAGCAGGAAAGTGAGTTTGGCTCAGCAGCCAAAGTGGTGATTATATGACTCAGCTCTTTGGCCACCTTCTCTTCAATTCTCCGGTCCTGCTTCCTACTTGTACGGAGTGAGAATGGGATGCAAAAGGGTACCAAGCACCTGGCCTACTCTCCAGGACTGGCAAATGTGGTCATCTTTCCCAAGCAAGTTCAGTTAGCACCTTTTCTTTATGCCTTTCCCTGATACCAAGGCAGAATGGCTCACTGTTCTCCCTTTGCCCTCTGACCATTTTGTGTGAGGATGCTCACGGCTCTGATCTCCCGGGTGTCAGCAGCTCTGGGTCCTCTGCACTCCCTTGAGCCTAGCACAGTACCTGGTGCTCAATAAATGCTCACCCTGATCTTGCATTCTCTGTCCCTGTCCCCCTTGCAGTGCTGGCTTCCTCCCCTACAGCAAGTCAGCTGGTCTCCCTGGCAGAGCGAGGCCCAGCCCCTCTCACCAGACAGCATGCGGCCCCTGCGGGAGGCCTCGGTCGCCAGGGCACAGGAGATTTCAATCCGCTTCTCCTGCTCCTGCAGCTGGCTCTCTGAGTCCTGGGGCACGTCCACAGAGTCCCCCTCGCCGATGGGCACCACGTTCTGCATACTGAAGAGGCACAGACACACAGACATGGAGGGGGACAGCATGGTCCAATTGGCTTGGGGTGGTCCGTAGACCGAGGTTGGTGGGGAGGGCCGGGGCTTGTGAGTGCACAGCCTCTGGCGCCCAGCAAGGCTGTCCTGAGGAGTGGGATGCTGGTAAAACAAGGGGACCCCTACCCTCAACGTTTTCAAGTGAATTCAAAGGTTCCTGTGAACACTTAGGGCAGCCTTCAGAGGGAGAGGTCGGCAGAGACAGCGTCAGCTGTCTTCGTGGCACTGTGTGTGTGAGCCTCTAGCCACCGCTTCCGTTTGCCGTCTCCTGGAGGCCCAGTGCCTCCACAGCACTGAGCACCCCATCTAGTCCTAGGTGCCAGGGAGGGCAGTGGAAGAGGAGGTTGGCACGGGACCAGTACCTGGACTTGGCAATCAGTGTCTTGATCCTTTCCACCTTCTTCTGCTTCTCCTTCAACTCCTCAGGGCTCAGGGGAGTGTCTGGTTCCAAGTCAATGTACCGTTCGGGGATGAGCACTTTGTCTGGGGTGGAAAGCTGTGGAGGGACTGGCGTCACGGCCACCTTCCCTCGCAGGGCCTCCCCACCTGTGGCCCCTTCCTGGACACCACAAACCTCCTTGTTGATGTCTACATCATAGTGCTGGGGCTCTAGCTCCATTTTGCGAAGCCGGGCAATTTCCTCCCGTGGTGTCTCGTAGGCCTGGCCACCAGGCTCCTCTGCACGCAAGGCAGCCTCCAGGTTAGAGATGTCCACCTCGTGGATGCTGCGATGACGACGCACCTAGGGGACCACAGTCATGAGCACACCACTGCCACCGCAGCCTCCACGTGGCTCTGACTCTACCTGTTATCCTTGTCCTTGATGTCCCATGCTCCTGCTGCCCTCCACTGTGTGGCCATCCCTCTTCCCTACTGCTTTCCCGAATCTGCCCACGTGCAGGGCCCCACAGGTAAAACCTCATCTACCTCTTTTGTCAATACTGGCCCACTATTCACATTCTGTGCCATATATTTTGGGCATTCAAATCAGTGTTTTGTTTTGGTTCCTGATTGGTTCATAGTATAGAATTCTCAGTCCACCAACTAGAATGTAAAATTGTTTGAGGGTGGGATTTATGAATAATTTTTCTGTATTTGTAAAATGCAGTGGAAAGAAAAGTTAAGCAGATACTTTGGTCTACTCCTGGCTTTACATTTAACAGTTGTGTGACCCAGAAACCCCTCATTTCTCTTGGCTTTATTTCCCCTATGTGTGTAGTAGGGATAACAATTCCTAACCCAGTGCTGTTAAACAAAGCATAAAAGAGGTATGTGAGCACATTGCACAGTGAGCTGTCACAGCTGTCTTTGGGAAGCCCAGCCCAATGCTCAGCACAGAGATTGTTCCAGAATGTTTATAATGCTGTTTCTGCATGGTAGATTTTGTACTGTCCTCTATTACCTGGATTCATGTTAGTACAATTCATTTCAGCAAAAATAATCACATTTGTCTTAAAATGCAGAGAACAGATCCTTGTTGAAAGAACAGTTACCCCATGGGGAGAAGCCTTCCCTAACTACCCTGCATCTCAGCTTGGGTTCTCCATCTCCTCTCACCTTCCTGGAATAGGCTGGCTATACCCTAAAGGTAAGCAGTGTGGCCAGACGCCAGGCGCCCACCCCTAGCTGCTGGCAGGACATTACCACTTTGTAGGCAGGCCGGGTGCTGGGCTCAGGGGCCGGGCTGGCTGGAAGCTGCAGGCTTCTCCGCTTCTCCTTCATGGATCCACTCTGGTGCCTCCGCATTCTGTCAATCTGCTCCTCTACGCTCATCTTGACCTTGCCCTCACCAGGGAAAACAGCGCTCTTGGGGCGCTCCTGCTGCAGTGGGCAGAGAAGGTTCCCCAGGTTCTTCATCCCACACCCAGGCTTCACCTTCACTCTGACGCCTTACTGTTCTTCTATGCGAAGCCCACTCACAGTGGGCTGAACAGTGATCCCCAAAATACAGGACAAAGTCCTAACCCCTGAGACCTGTGAATGCAACTTTATGTGGAAATACAAGATCATCACAAATTAGAGTAGACCCCAAATCCAATAATGGACATCACTGTAGAAGAGAGAAAAAAGACAACACAGGGCAGAAGGTGATGTGAAGATACAGAGACTGGCATGAACCAAACCATTCAGTTGAAAACAAATGCCAACTACTGCCAGCCCCAGCCAGCTTACTACTGTAAGTTTGGAGAGAGGCAGAGGTAAGATTCACCCCTGGAGTCTCCAGAGGGAACCAAACTGCCAGTATCTCAATCTTGGACTTTGGGTTTCTACACATCTGAGAGAATACATTTCTGTTGTTTGAAGGCATCCAATACATGGAAATTCATTACAGGAACCCCAGGAAACTCATACAGATTTTGGAACTTGGGAATGTGGTACTACTGCCAAAAAAATACCTAAAAATATGGACGACATTTTGCTGTTGGATAATGAGTAGAGATTGGGAAAATTTTGAGGTGAATGATTTAAGAAAACCTCTGTATTTCCTTAAAAAGACAGCATATATAAATAGAGATTCTAAATATGATGATTCTGAGAAGGGCTTAGAGAAAATGAGAAAGCTTCTATTGTCTGAAAGAATATATATATTATCATGAACAAAATGTTCATAGAAAGATGGATTTTTGTTGTTGTTGTTTGGTGATACCCAGGGATGCTCTTCCATGGAGCTACAACCCCAGTCTTTTTATTTATTTTGAGACAGGGCCGTGCTGAGTTGCCTAGGCAGGTCTTGAAGCTGTAGTCCTCTTGCCTCAGCCTCTTGCATGCTGGGATTATAGGTGTGCACCAGTGAACCCAACTGAAAAATGGATGTGAAAGGTGCTTCTGGCAAAGTCTCAGAAGGAATGAGGAGCACATTACTGGCCAGTGCAGGAAAGTAGCAGAAACTTGACTGGATTGTAGTCTATCATTGAATAGAAACCAGGTTTCTCAGCAAAGCAGTGAAGGTGTGACCTGTTCCTCTTTGTACTTGGAGAACAATGGAAAAGAGACAAATTGAAGGAAGTGTTAAGTCAAAAGAAACTTGCACTTTATTTTTTGAGAGATTCTCACTTACATTAGAAAAGTCAGTGATGGGAGAGTATGCACTACACGTACAGAATACATCCTAATTTTTTTTCTCATTCCCTCTCCTCACCATGGTAAATGTAATCATTACATACTGAAAATGTGTTCTAATAAAATAAAAAAATTAAAAGAAAAAAGAGCTGTCACCATAAAAAAGAAAGAAAAACATACTCCAAAGAGAGCGTCAAGGGTGCAGCTGGCCAACTCCCTACTGAAGAGATTAGACGGTGACTCAGATCCAGTCATCTCAGAATACAGAAACAGAGACAAGCTACCCAGCAAAGGTCTGCAGAGAAGCCCTTCCTGGAATGGATCCCTTTGAAATACACAGAGATCTACTGGTGCTCTAAGGAGGTCAATGTTAGTAAAAATCACTGCCAGCTCATAGTAAAAGAAAAAGAGGTAAGATGGAGGGGAAATGTCAGATTTCTGGGATTCCACAGGCAGGAAATAGACTACCAGAGCTATCTGCCTATCAGCATATACTAACTTTCAAGGAAAAGAAAGTGTGAAAGCAAAGCTGTAGTTAGAGAAGCAGAGGCCAAAGAGATGGGGCCCGGCCGCGAGGGCTAACTGGGCCTCACTAACCCAAATGGCAGGACCCCAGCTGCAGACCTTCTCAGGCCTTAAAGCCGAGTGAGATCGGCGATGGAGAGCCGGGGTGTGTGAACAACCAAGGGACAACTGTTCCTGACTGGGACTGGTGATCTCTTACTCCTTTCCAAGACAGAAATGACTATGGCATACTTGTCCCATCATTGTGCTTTAGAAGCCAGATGGACTTATTTTCTGGTTTCCAGTAAAGAAGAATTCTGCCCCAAGATGGACCATATGGAGGAGACGAGATGATGGGATCTGGGACTTTTGAGCTGAAGATAAGTATCTTTATCTTAAAGATAAAGACGAGGTGGTGGAGTCGATGATGGGGTGATGATGTGGGGATGGATGTCACAAGTGGGAGGAGTGTGAACTTTGGGGCTGTAGCTGTTGAATAATAGCAGCTTCCCAAAGACACATCCACACCTTAACCCCAAATGCCTCTAGTTATTTGGAATTAAGTCTCTGCAGGTCTCATTAAGACTCTCAGGATTAACTGAATTAAATGGGTCAAATCCTTTAGAGGTGTCCTTCGAAGACAGAGGAAAGAAGATGATACACAGAGGAGAAACTGATGTGGAGACGCAGACAGAGGCGGGATCGATGTGTCTGGAAGACAAGGGATGCTGAGGATGCCAGAGAGGACACTCAGCTGGGGAAAGGCATGGGATGGCTTCTCCATCAGCGCCTCCAAATGAGCCAGTCTTGCTGACATCTTGCTTGGATTTCAGGCTTTTAACTGAGAGAACAAGTGTATGCTGTCTAAAACTACCTGGTGTGCGCTAATTTGCCAACGCTCAGCCACTCTGGGAAACAATTACACTTCCTGGGGCAGCACATCTGATCCTGACCTCTGGGTTTGCTGCTTTGTCTCTCTTGTATTTCATCAGTGGCATGTGATGACGACTGTGTTAAGTACTTCTGTACAGCTTACACTCTTCTCCCTGTCCCCAACAAGTTTCCTTGAAGAACTCTTTCCCTCACTTGTTTTAGCACCTCCCTCATGCTGGGTGCCAGGAATAGTAATGGTGGAGGGGTGGGCACACTCACAGGCGCCCAAGCACAAGCTCCTAGAGCCGGGGGGCAGACTCACCCGGGAGGAGAGCCCGTTGGTGAGTCCATTGGCGGTCCTTCTCATCACTGCTGAAGGGGTCACGTCTTCGTCAGTGGGTGACTTTGTTCGAGGGGGCACAATGCCAACTGCAAAGAAACAAAGCAGCCAGTGGGCATCATGGGAAGCATGGAGGCAGGGAGCTTGGCTCTCCGGAGAGGCTTGCTCTTGCTCACCACCGAGGCTGAAGGCTCAGGGCAGTAAGCACTGTCTTCAGGTATGAATGAGCACTTAGGAAACTTCTCTGACCCTTCCAGGGGAAGATGGGCCAGTACCTTTGTTGAGAGCTGCCTGCTTCTCTGCCTCCACTTCTTGCCTGGTGGGCAGAAGGCTGATATCTTTGGGGGTATCCAGGGGTGATGTCTGGTGAGAGTCTTTCTTGTTCTGCTCATAGCTTGCCTTGGGCTAGGGAGAAAGGATGAGAAGATAGTTGATGCTAGAGTGACTGCTGGAATGTGACCTTCTCATCGCCTTTCCCTCTTAAACCCCTGAAGTCACTGGAGTGTGACACTCCATGTGTTCCAGCCAAGAAGTAGCCAGGGTACACTGGTACCCAGGCACCAACAGTTGGCTATCGTGGAGAATGACAGCTCAGTGCCTAAGGGAGGGATCCAGGCAGGGTCCACCAGAAAAGGGCCTCAACCAATGCAGCCCACCATAGATTTGTCTGTAAGCCAGTCAAGGAATGGCTCGAGCAGTGTGGAACCTATGGCACACAGTGGGCATACAGAGCCTCTGTCAGGATGCAAGGCAAGGATATGAGCTGCTTTTTTCTAAACTTAAACCTCAGTATTCAGGTTTAATTGCAGTGTTGGCCCTTTGCTATAAACAAGTGGGTTTTAGTTTGCAATTTGGGCACTCGGTCTCTGAAAGGTTCACCATCACTGGCCTAGAGTTTCTAAGGATTCTGTCTGGATCCCACTCCAGACTTCAGAACACAAAAGTGAGTGAGCCTTGGTGCCTGGACTGTGGGAAATGAGAGGAGCATTTGCTGAGGACTCATATGAGGCCAGAAAGGACCTCAGACATCATCTGAGCCACGTCTTCCCATGGCACAGTTGACGAATCCGTCTCAGTGAGGGGAATTCAGAGAGAAGGCCAGGCCAGAGGATGGAAAGCTCAGCTCTCACCCAACTAGAGAGCATGAGAAAGTCTCATTCCTGTTCTTTGCCTGTCAAACACCAACAGTGCTTGGCCTACCTTACCAGCAAGCCCTGAAGGGTCGCACAAATCACACACAGCTGAGCCCATGGTGCATTTTCCAAGCACAGACACAGGATATTCTCTACTCACCACACCACCTCTTCTAAGCCTAGCTGCCCAGTGCCCAATCTTGGGGAATCTGGGTGGCAAGAGCCAGAACAGGGAGAACGGGACCTGTGTGCTTACACTCCAGGGCTCACAATACCCACAGATGACGAGGCAAGGCAGAGGCATAGAGAGGAGACATGATGGTTGTGGCCTGAGGTGGGGGGAAAGTAAAGGAAGGGATTGGAATGGCACTGGGGTGGGTGTCGCTTGATTTCCTTTGGCTGGCTACCTTGGTAGGGAATGGGGCAGGACACCAGCTCCCATAACTGGTGGATGCCCATTAGCCTAGATGGCAACTCATTTCCCCATTGTCCACGGAGAGCAAAAGGAGGAAGCCAGTCCGAGACTGTAACCTTCCCTGCTTTCTTTACTCTGAGTTCACTGGGGAGGAGAGCCCTGTAGAAACTGAGCTGTGGGCACAGCGAGAAGCTCTCCACATGCAGTGAGTGGGGAGAGTAACCCCAGGGCGCTGCCCTGGCCCCGAGCCTGGCCCTTTGTCCCTTCTTCCCCACCCCTCCAGAAGCCAAGGGTGCTGGGTACCTGACCCCTGGCTGTCTCGCCATTGCGGTGCCAGGAAGGGGAGTTGGGGTATGGCCAGAAGCGGCTCTCGCTAGGGAGTGGAGGGACGGTGGGAGGTGACTCCAGAGGGACGTAGGCTTTGGGGAGGGGTGGCCGAGGTGGGCCGGGTTCCTGAGGCAGAGAGAACGAAGCCAGAAGCCAGAGTGTTAGGAGGAACAAGAGCAGCCACTGTGAGAGCGGGAGAAAAGAGCGTTAGTGTGAGTCAGACAACATCTGGGGAAAGGGACCGTGGGCCGGGGCCTGGACACTAGAGCCCCACCCCTGCCTGCAGAGCTCTGCTTGGCCTTCAATCCCCCCAACCACTCCCCAGCTCCCCACTTTCCTCCAAAGCTCCCTCCTCGGTGCCCCCCAGCATGCTGGGCACAGTCCCACCCCAGGACCTTTGCTGTCACTGTCCCCCCTGCCTGCAAAGGTTTTCGCTTGTTTCACTCAAGTGCTGAGAGATAGTCTCAGTTTCCCCTGCTTTAGTCCCCTCTTCTCCTTGGGCTCCTCAGAGCACAGACAGCCTGGACCTCACTGCACCATCTGGGGAGTGTCTGGTAGGCTGCTGGCTTACTGTGAGCTGGTGTCAATCCCCATTGGATGCTGGGCCTTGGGGATCACATGAGTGTCTCTCAGGGCCTTGTGCCACCATTCACCTGTAAAAGAGCCCTCCAGTACCTGCTGCCTGGGGTGGCTGGGAAACTACTCCCCCACCATCTCTCAACCCTCTCCTCCCTGGAATGCTATCAAGGGGCTGGCATTTTGCTCCTCATCCTGGTGCTCAGCAAGGGCCTTCCCAGAAAAGGAGACAGCTGGAGGGAACAGGCATGGGGCAATTCAGAGGCAGGGTCACAACTCAGGTGCATGATCCACTCCCTTAGACAAAAAGCCAGAGCTCTAGGACCTGGAGCTCTGGGGGAGAGATGGATGCAGCCTCTGTGTCATTTCAGACAGATAAGGATCTGCTCTTCTTCCTGCTGACTTTACATTCCACTCCCCAGCTTACCTCATTGGACCCCGGCTTGGTGGGGGACCCCTGAGAGCCAGACACCAGTGAAAAGGGGCTCAGGGGGCTGGTGAGGCTGGCAGAGCTGAGAGGGCTGGCTGGGCTGTTGGAGCTGTAGGTGCCTGAGGGCCCGAGTCCTCCTTGGGGGAAGCAAAATGGGGAGAGGTAAAGGACGGGAGAGGATGTGTCAGTGGGTAACATGGGAAGAGGCAGGGAGAGACCTATTGGGGAGGTGGGAGCAGGGATTTAGCTTCTCGGGGCCACCGGCCTTGCTAAAGAACTTCTGCAGGTGCTGGGGTCACAGGCTGGCTGTGAAGGGAGCATTGTGCAAAGGAACACGACACCGGGCAGGGAAGATGACACAGCAGCTTCCCAGGTGTCGGAGGGCCAGCCTGAGGGCCTGGGGCTCAAGGAAGCACAGGGGCACAGGTCACCAGTGGGCCTATGCACTTTGAGGTCAGGGAGGCTCGGGGGCTCTTTGACCTTTTCTGGGGGGCACATTTAGAGTAGGGAGGTCAATAGAGTCACTGAGCAGTCTACTGATCTCTTCTGTGGGCAATGAGGGAGCCCCGTTTACCACCCTAGGTCCAGGGAAGATTCTGGGTCCTGAGAAGGACCTGCCTGCCTCTGAGCACAGAGTGAGCTGGCGGGTGTGGGGCCTTGAACTGGGGAGGCACTGACCTCTGTGCTTGGCAGTGTCCGTGCCCCGGGACGGGTTGTTCTTCCTCAGCCCCTCCATCACGTCTTGGATCCTCCAGATCTCCTTCTGGATTTGCCGATTGAGCACCTCGTTCTGAACAGCCGAAGAGCAAGTCAGAGGAAATGGCTTCGAGGGGTGTCCTAGCCTGGACACCCCTCTCTCTCTCTGTCTCTCTCTCTGTCTCTCTCTGTCTCTCTGTGTTTCTCCTCTCTCCTCTCTCTCTCCCTCCTCTCTCTTCTCTCTCTTCTCTCTCTCTCTCTCTCTCTCTCTCTGCTGGGCACCCCACCCTGTACCACTTCAACTGTTGTAAAATTTTGTCTCTAGAATTGCCAGAGCCTCAGAACTGAGAGAATGAGGGCCCATCTTTCTGGTGAGACCAGTATCAGTATCTTTCTTAGCTACCCCAGAACAGTCAGGGTGGTTTGAGAGTAAAGGTCCCTCTAAGCAGTGACCAATTTGCACAGAGCAAGAGCTTCCTGCTTAGTTTTCCTTTGTAATACCCACACCTAGGGGCTGGGGGTTTAGCTCAGCGGCGTAAGCGTCTGCCTTGCAAGCAGGCAGTCGTGAGTTCGATCCCCGGTACCGATAAAAAGGAAAAAAGACCAAAAAAAAAAAAAAAAATGTAATACCCACACCTAACATATGCCAAAGTGGTGAATTATACTCAATTACAGATTACCACTTACAGGTTATAGGTTACAGGTTTCAATGATAGAGCTACCCCTTACGCAGAATCACTCAATACCAGGCACCAAGCTAAGCCTTTTGCTTGTACTAAGTCTTTCCAGTCACACAAATTGCTATGCAGTAAGCATAGCAGCAGTTCCACTTCAGAGCCTGGGATCATCTGTGGGTAAGTGGTGAGACCAGTATCAGAAAGGCAGCTGTGTTCACTACTACTGCATCAACACTGACTACCGTGGGGATGCGGGTCATTTTGATTCAGATGCTCTTGGCGTCAACCCTACCCTACCTCCTAAAATGCATGTGTTGAGAGTGAGGCCTGCCTATGGGACATGGTTACATTTGGGTCCTCTGGATCAAGAAGATCTTGACCTTGCCAACCAGCTGCAAGTTAGGGAGGAGAGTTTTGTTACCAGGAGGAAAATGGGGAAACCATGGTATTAAATGCATCAGAAATGCAGGGCTTGCAAAACTTGCCAGAGAGGAGGGAGGGCCTCGAAGAGAAAACACAGGAAAGACCTTCCCCAAGATCACTAGTCTGTCTCCTGCTTCGGGCTATTTCCAGCACATCCCAGGAAGGAAAGTCCCACTCCTATCTAAAACTCTTAAACTACCTGCCCTTCTGCTTTGGGCTCCAAGATATTCATATTTATATGTCTGTTTTTCAGTTTCTTTCAAGCCCAGAATACCCACTGAAGTCTCCCATATTTTGGCTTTAGCTCCTCCCGCTGTGAGCTGGTGGAAATGAAGAAACCCACGTTATCTTCATCCTAAATCTCAGAGTCCATTCTAAGTAGCCTGAGCCTTACTTTTGCCTCAGGACCAACTCCTCATCTTCAAGCTCTGAGGTTGTTAAAGTGGGAAAGGAGAGCACTATGGTCCCCTTTGCCCAAAAGGACCAAGGAAGGGGCCCCACCCCCACCCGCTCAGGGCCCTTCTTCACCTGGATGTCCAAATTGAGCTGCTCCCAGAGGTCATCATGCAGGGCAGAGACCTCAGACTCGAGGTTTTCATACTCCATGGTGCTGTTGGTCAGCGCCTGCAGGGAGGGGGTTACTGAGAAATCTAAAGCCATCAAAACCTCTCTCTGTGTCCTGCAACAAAGACCTGGTGGCACAAGGCTGAGATGTTCTAGCCTTTCAAAAAGAGTGAGAGCATATGCCACTGAAGAAGAGAGAGAGCTGAACCCTCTAAGCATGGGGTCAAGCCAAATGGGGAATTTCTATACCCTTCTTTTTGCCTAGGTTCAGGTACAACCATTGAGGACAAGGACAAAGGGCCTGGAAGGAGGCTTTCCTCTGTGGAGTTTAGGGACTGTCTTCCTCTCTTCTGGGCCGCATTTTCCTGGAGCCTTTGCTGCTGCTTCTCAGGGCCCTTATTATCAGTTTGTACTGGAGGATCTGCCACAAACTCACAAGCAGACAAGGCAGCAGCATTTCCACTGTGTCTTTTCTCTAAGGAAGGGGGCATAAGTGGGCAGCAGAGGCACTAGAGCAGCCTGGGAAATCAGTAGCTTTCAACTTCATGCTTTATCAGAGAGATCCTGGTACAGCTAGGTTTGGGGGCAGGAAGCCCACTTCTTGGGGCAGACTGTCTGGAAGAAGCAGACTCATACTTGCTGTCTGTGGCCAAGGAACTGTTAAGGTTTTTGCCCATGTGTCCCCAGGCAGGAGCACTCTGCTTTAGCTCTCTGAGGAGAATCTGGGTTAAAGCAGCAGTGGGTGCCCAGACCCAGGTGTCAGGTTACCGTGGTGGCCTGCGATAGCTCCACCCTGATGTTGATGAGCTGGTTCTGCAGGGATTCCTTTTTGTGAAGCAGTTTCTCTGGGTAAGCAGGCTGACTTCCAAACATTTCCAGCTCTTGGTGGGTGCCCATCAAAGCACTTTCCAGGCTCTCCTGCAGAAAGGCAGGGGGCGTGGCATGAGCTTTCCTGATTACTCCTCTGGGGTCTTTAACAGCAGAGGCCCCAGACCCTAATGGTTCGAGCAGGCAGCCAAGTGGAGGTGGTCCTCACATTGCCTGCAGCCCATGGGAGACCTTCTGCAGTTCTGAGTAAGATGCTGAAGGAAGGACAGAGCTCTGTCAGGTAAGTGAGGGAGGAGACAGCAACCCATGCCACCTCCAAGCCAGCCCCACCTGCAGGCCACCCCAGTGCTCACCTTCTCTGCTCGGAGCTGCTGCACCAGCCGATCCTGCTCTCTCACCACCTTGTTCTGTTCACACAACTTGCCCAGCAGCTTCTGGGGGCCCAGGGAGGGAAGAGGAGGTAGAGAGAAGGGGATGAAGGACATGGTTTGATGGGGCTGGGGGAACTGTGATGACAGGGCCTGGCCTCTGGATACCACCTTCCTTCCCTGTTGAGGAGCCCCAGGCCTTCGCCACAACCTTGGAGGCGCTTGGAAAGAGGAAGATGGCACTCCATCTTGGGAGGGACACTGCGACCAAAAGTCTGGCAATAGGCTCCTGTACCCCCATCCAGAGGGGGCGCAATTTAATACTGAGGGCTGAGGAGATGGGATCTCACCAGCAGACAGGTGTAGGAACAAACAGCCTTATAAAAAAGTATGATGTGAACTGGCCCGTGTGCCCTCAGGAACTCCCCAGGCCAGCTACACAGTGGCCTGGGCAGGACCAGTAGTAAAGAGAGGGAAACAGGTCAGGACAGTCTCTTCCAGAAAGACATGCTTTCCACACCCACAGCTTCACTCATGCCGTTCCTCAGACTCTTTCTCCTGAGCCACTTCTCATCCTCTGGACCTTTTAATTGCAAGGCCAGTTCACATGCCACCTGCTTTGCCCCTAACGATCCGACAGCCTTGCCTACTTTCAGATGTTTAGTGGTCCCATTTGGCAAGTGACTCTGTAGCCACCTACTGTTACCTGGTGTTGTACCTGGCACGTGGGCAGGAGCAAGCTACACTTTCTCTCTAGTTACCCGGAGGGACTAATGCCACACTGGCATAGAGCAGACTGATTCAGCTCCCACAAATCCTGTGAGAAGCCAATCCCACCCCTATAGACAAGCGGGCCTGGAGCTGAGTGGAGAAGCACACGGGGCCAGTGTGGGGTGAGGGGTGAGAGAAGAGCGACGAGGAGGCAAGTAGGAGGTCGTGTTCATGGCAAGAAAGAACACAAGTCAAATGTACGGGGCGGGAGAACGAGCCCCACGGAGGAGAGTGAGGAGGGAGACGGCGGCGCAGCGGGCTGCAGCGAACAAGGGAACAGGGAGAGCTGCCCTTACATCCGTGTCTTGCTCGTTTAACTTGTAGGTGTGGAGGCTGTCCCGGAACACTTCTGGGTATGGAGGGACCTGCAGGAATATGAGGTTGGTTACTAGAGCAGGAGCAGGATGATCCTGTGTGGGGCAGGCAAGCTGACCTCCGTTTCTGACAGATACCACAGCCCATCACCTCTGCAGCTTCCATTCTGGGGACCTGAGCTAATGCTCTGTCCCCTAGGTTGGGAAGCCCGTGAAGGCCCCATTTAGATTCCATCACGACTGTCCTTGGCTGATCTGGAGAGATCAGAACTCTGCTGAAATGCTCTGTAGTTCGTCTCCCCTAAACTCCAGGGTCTGCAGTGGCGGCAGGGCTTACTGGTAACAAGCATGAGAATATCAGCAAACCCCTCGGCTGTCTGCAGGCTCAGGAAACAGGAAAGGGGAGGAACAAGCACGGGGAATATTGGAGAACGCTGGCCTAGTAAACTGAGCACAAGTCACAGGGCTTGTGCTGAAATCAGGACTGGCAAGTATCCAGAAGCACTTCCGCATCCAGCTAATACTGCCCAGCCTTGACGACACCACAGATGACCACGGTGCATTCTGTACACCTCTGCCACTGGATGGTTCCATATTACCCCTCATGCTTTTTTAATCCCACAATGTCTGTCAAGGAGACAGCAAATGCCACTCAGAGGCTTGGACACTGAAAAGCAGGTTTGAAATCCCCAGCATGGCATGAGATGTTGGTGCTGGCTGTTTTGATGGTTCAGGAGGTGGGCCTTGGGGTTACCCATGAACATGAAGAATGGAGGTGACAAGTGAGTTTAGGGGAGGAAGAGCAGGCTGAGCCTGTCTCTAGGGAGATGAGGTGGATGAGCACGCTGGGCAGAGGCAGCCTCATCCAGATGGGGCAATCCAACCATGCACAAGCAGCTGAGATGGTGTTGACAGGGACCATGCTGCCAGGCAGAGGTCTTACTTGCACGAAGAGTTGGGCCCTGGGGGAGGAGTTCTCCACCATGCGGTTCACCATACTGATGAGAGTCTCGCTCTCACTCATCTGCAGCAGAGAAGGAATGGATGATTCACACTCAGACCCTCGCCTGGGAGCACCACCACACTCCTGTGCTTGTCTTCAGGACACAGGGGAGGACAGCTCCTCTCGGGCCTCCAGGGCCTACGCTTGGTCTCACCCATCCCTTGTCCCTTATTAACTCTGTTTCAAGAAAAGCGCTGATGCTATCCTAGAGGAAAAGCCACAGCAGGTGCCTGGGAGGCCACTGGGCCCTCACTTGTAGTCTGGAAGAAGCCCCCAGCTCAAGGACTCTTCCCCAGGGTGCCTGACTGCTTGTTCCTATGCGCCTGGCCAGGCTATCAGCTCCTTCCTATTTTTCACACTACTTTGGACAAACATGATACAGCCCAAAGCCTGAACTCCCCAAATCTGCATTAAATGAAATAACTGAAAAAGACAACTGGGATCTGCTCTCCACACAGGCCACAGTACCAACAGGCACAGCCCTTGTGCGTCACCCCCGCTCCACCAAGGCCCTAGTGTACAAGGACTGCTAAACATGGTTTCCAGAGCTGGGCTGGCAGCAGCTATGAGGAACTAGGGTAGTAAATAAGGAGGCGAGCCATGTTAAAGGGACACCAGATACAGGAACACCTCTTTCCACCATGTCATCCTGTGCATTTCAAGAATCATTAAGAACATGGAGGGGGAAAGACTATTTGCCAGATGAAATAGACAGAGACAGGGGAGGGAGGGGAGGGGAGGGGCAAGGGCAGGCCAACCAAGTCAACCTGAAATGCCATCATCTCCTCCCGTCGGCTGGTATAAGAGGACCAGAAGGGCACCTACCAGGGGAGGTCCTTGGTTGTGTCCCTTTAACTCCACTCTTCTATAACAGAAAAGTGGGAGGCAGGAGAAGGTATGAGGAAAAAGCTTTGGGGGAGTAACAGAGAGGAGGAGGACAGGACAGCCACATTCAGGAAGATCTTTGGGATCGAAGTCTTTCTGTGGTCCCCCCCGCCCCGACATTCTTGACCAGGCCCACTGTCTCCAGCAAGGCAGCCTCGTTTTTGTGTGTCTAGCAGGGCAAGGCACCCTCTATCCACAGCTGCAACATCTGCAGTATTTCACTCTCACCTTTTCCAGGACCTAAGTTTTCTTTTTTGTGTGTGTGGGTACCAGAAATTGAACTCGGGACCTCACACTTGCCAGGCAGGTGCTACACCACAGAGCTATATCCCCAGCCTCTAGGACCTAAGTTTTCTATCTTTTTAGCCTGCTTGAAATTTTCTCCTCTGGCATAAAGTATGTCTTAAAAGGTTTTCAAAAGAATGAATTTATGCGCGATTGAATCCTTGTAAGAGTTAAAAAGCTACCATGATGTCAACCACATTTTCTCAAAAGATCCAGACGTAAGCCCATCTCGCCTCTTCTTGCAGCACGTATGTGTGCACAGCTGAGTGTACAGAGGGCCCAAGTCAAGTGTCCACGCGTCAGCGTGGAGAGGACAAGCAAGGCCCAGGCTGTTCCCAGGGACACACTGACCCATTCCTTCCTACAAGCAACAAAGGCAGGAAGCGAGTGTCCTTATCCTTGCTCACTCTCACCTGTGATGTGGGTTAGGGATCTTTCTGCCCACGTGGGCCTCTCCTCTCGGGGAATCCCTGTGTTTTACCTCTGTCTCTCTAAAACATCAGAGCACTTTTGTGAGAAGGTGCCTAACCTAGCACCTGAAATATAATATGCAGTGCTCAGTTAATATTTTGTCGCACTTTGCAAGATATTTAAACAGCAGCAACAGCAGCAATCACCACTCCTGACCAACGGAGTCTGACTAAAAACTCTTGGCTACTTTTCCCATTGATTCGCCCACTGAGTCCGTGAGGCAGAAAGGGCAGGCTGTACACCATTCCCTTGGCATTTGAGAAAATAAGGACTCAGAGAGATTCAGTGACATTTCTAATGTGTTTTTATAAATCCCTGGAAATGGCAGGGCTAGGATTAGAGTGGCTGTGTCTAGACTGTCCCCGTCACACAAGTCTGCCTCTCATTACCCTCTATCCAGGTGGGGGAGGTGCTCTGCAAGCCCTAGGCTAACAGCCCAGCTCCTGTGCCATGAATGCTTGGACAGCAAGTCATGGTCATTAGAGTACAACCAACCAGGGGCCACCAGAAGTGAGTCTGCCTAGGATACTGGAGGCCGGGTCCTCCTCTGAGGCACACGTGCCTTGCTTCCCAATGGAACCATCCTATACTCCACAGCCTGCTCGCACGGTCACCCAGGCACTCGTCTCCACATGCATTGGGATGCTCACAGTGTGGACACAATATGGTGCTTTTAGAACAAGACCACATGGTCCTCAGGGGCTAGGGGCCACCTCTGTAGGCCAAGCTGTAGACATCTGTGCTTCTTCCCCAGGGTCTGAGGTTTACAAGGAGAATCTCATCAAGACACAGAAGCCCGGAAAGCACCGTGTCCCATGCTCATGACTAGAAGAACATACAGTTGCATCTATATCCTCTGATCTCAGTTGATGTTTCTTTCTGCAACCTTAAGAGAATGATGTCATCCCGAAGAAGTTTACCCTCGGCCGTCACATAGCACATGTTTCCTCAGCTGTGAACTGGGTCGAAACTTCAGTAGCATTCCAAGTTCTGCTGTTCACTGGCTGTGTGTCCTTGGCATGTTATCTAACATGTCTACTTTATTTCCTTGGTGATAAAGTAAAGCTCGTAATAGCACCCATCTTGTAGATTATGAAGATGGACGATTAGAATAGGACGAGGCATAGGGAATGCACTGAATTATGGTACTGCCACCACTGTCACCACTATTACTGTTCACACCATACGAGGCGGCATGACAAGGTATGCCATGTGTCTCCAGGTCCCTTGTGCTTTGTAGCACAGACCCGGAGAGAAGAGTGAGTGTGGATAGAAACGCCAGCATGTTGGCCTCCTGCCTAAAATAAGTGAGTGTTACAGTCCCATTATCCCCAAAAGTAACGCAGTCAGGGGTTAGAGCCCTGCATCCCAGGGCCCAGGCAGCCAGACACTTCCGACGGTGCCTGTTCACATCGCTCACCTTGCAGACTGAGTTAAGATTACTGCCTCTGTCCACTGCACTGAATTCTCAGGGTTACAAGTTACACATGCAAAAAACAGTTTTGTCAAGGAACATATTGAATTAAATCATTTTAGGGCTGGCCTACAGGCCTTGGCTCTCAAGTTACAGCATTTAACAACAACCTGTAGAACATATGACTTCCTGGATTCAGGCTGAACTCAATCCCTGGCCTCCGAGGGCATCTGAAGCTCAAACCTCGACTCATTACTCCCTCTCTCTCTGGCAAAAATGCAAATTTCCCCCAGTCCTTTGGGGGAAGTTTCATCTGGGCTGAAGACTGGAGAAATATGGGGTGGCATTAATTATTCATGAGCTCATTTCTAATGCTTTTTCCCATGAAACCCCCAGCTGCCTGAAAGGGTCATGAACAGGAGGGGTGAGAAGGAGAGAAACAAAATATAAGCCACTTTGTTGCGTGCTGGCGGCACCAACAAAGGTTATCAAATGGCTGGAGGATGAGGGATTGGACGGTGACAGGGAGACAGGACAGGAAGGAGGACAGTGGGATGGTGAGGGGCACCAGCTCTGCCTACCTGCTGGTCCAAATACTCTAGGTTTCTTTGCAACTGAAGATCTAAAAGTTCATCCTACCCGGAGCCCGAGGCCAAGGGGCCAACCAGCAACACAAACAAACAGGAACACACAAAAGAAAACAATAAAAAAGAAGCAAAGCAGTTAAGAGTTAGATGGGCAAGGACCAGGAAAAGCCTCTCTCGACCCTTGAGGAGTTCTGGGGGTGCAGGCAGGTGGAGGAGACACACACTCCGGGCCCCAGCTCCATCGTCTCTCCCAGGTTTACCTCACCCTCTCTGGGAGGATCAAGCACCACCGAAGGAACCTAATCAGCACTTCTTAGCAGTTATTTCTAAGTTTTCTGGAAAAACCTGTGGTTTCTGGAGGGCTGCATTTGCTGTGGGTCAAGGCTATAGAGTTTGAACACTGGCAAAGCGAGAATGGAGATGGGGTGAGTGGAGGCCTCCTCCACCCTGGCCTCCTGGTGCTGCGTGTGGGACAGATCCTGCCTGTGGGTCTTTGTGGCTCCCTTCACCCCACTCAGATGGAGCATCTGTAGGCACAGATGGAGATGTCCAGCTGAGATGACAATTCTCAGGGGAGCATATACTCAGGAGAGTACAATATGGGCAGTTTTCCTCTTTCAATCACACCACTTGTCTCTGTCCCTAAAAGTCACAACTCAGGCAAAGGACAAACTTGAAGGAAATGCTCCTGGGGAAGAAAAGTCTCTAAGTTCTTGCCTGTTGCTAGGAGTCCTGGGCTGACTCTGTGCCCAGTTCACCCCTCGCCCTGGCCCCTTCTCCTGCATGCTGGAGAAGAGAGCTGGGCCGAGGTTGGCACTCTCAGGTCTTGTCCCTTTCCTCTGCCCTGGCACTAAACTATTCGGGGTAGAGGCCTGGCCGGAGGGAGGAGGTATCCAGAGGCTGCTTAAAAACACAGAGGCCAGGCACTGGGCACGGGGTACCCTTATTCAGCTCTGCCTTGGGTGGAGGCAGGGCAGAGCGGAGGGAGGAGAGGACGTACCATCTTATCGTGGACCGTGGGGGATGGTGGGTAGTTGTAGGGGAACAGTCCTGCAGGGACTGGCCGCCTGTCTCCCAGGTAATCATACTGGAAGAGAAAGGGGATTGCAGAGGTAAGAGGGTTCGGCTAGGACACGGACTTCCCCACCAGCGCAGTTCCAGGTTAGGGATGTCTGTATTCTGTCCTGGAGTAGATTTCAAACAGCAGTCCCCGTGCAATAAGCAGTCCTCAAGAATGGAAAAGATAGACCCTCTCCGCCCTGTCAATCAGACTGTTCCTGGCACAACTTGGAGATGGGCACAGAGAGCAAGGTTCCTACTCAGGGCACAATGACCCTCCAAACAGCTCTCCTAGGGATGCGACTGTGGGCCAGTGGGTGCCCTGGGCAGACCACCAGTCCTGTGACACACAGCCAGTGACTCATGTCCCAGATGCCCCAGCATCACCACCTCTTCTCACCACCTGGTCTTGGGGGATGAGGAAGGAGGGCAGGCAGGCAGCTCACCTTGGGGGAGCTGACGGATCGCCTCATCACATAGGCAGCGGGGTCAGCATAGATGTCCTCACTGTGAGGTGGCAGCCGTTCAAAGCGGGCACTGGGTGAGCGGACCGGGGAGTAGATGCGGGCGTGGCTGTAAGAGCCCTGACTGGGTGAGCGGGGCACAGAATGGGAACGAGGCTGCAAAGACAGGCGGCGCAGGGAACCAGAGGCGGCATCCAGCTCGTCGTAGTAGACTGGCTGCCGGGATGGGCTGGGGATCCAGACAGTGCCATCTTGCCGGCCGTAGCCTGCAGGCTCCTTCCACTCACGCAGCTGGTAGGCAGGGGTGCCCCCATTGCGGAAGGAGTGGCGCTTGTCCTCCAGGGCCCAGGGAGGGCTGATGCGATCGTAGGCGGGCATGGAACAGATGCTATCAGGTCGCACCCCTGGGGGGTAGTACTGGTAATCATCCGGATACTGGGAGGGGTAGGGGCCATAATAGTCAGGGACCCGACGGGGCACGGGGTAGAACCTGGAGGGACTGAAAGACAGAGGACAGTGTAAGGAAAGCAGATACCGTGGGCACATCTCTATCCGTCCCAGCCTCACACCCACGTCCTACAATGAGAGCAGGTGCTGAACAGGTGAATGGGCCCCAGGCTTGTTAGTGAGCACACGAAAGAGTCCTGCCCAGGCAGGCCCTGAGGTTCACTCCAGTGTAAGGGAAAGGCCCTCCTTCAAAGTTCCTTGCAACCAGAAAGGGCACCACTGAGCTTCAATCTTTGTCTCTTTAAAATGAAATGCCCTGGAAGAGAATCGTACGCCTTATTAGCCGTCTCCATCTGAGTGTGAACCAATCTATCAGACTTTTTCCAAGGGAGGCAAGAGAAGAAAGAACCTGAGTGTCCTGAACAGCTGGTGGACAGCCGAAAAGGGAGGAAAGGGCGGTTTCCTGGCGGCATGAGCCCTGCCAGAAAAAACCAACAGCTTCCTGTGACTTGTTCCGAGAGCCTAAGATTTTGGGGTGAGGGGTGGGGCCGAAGTTGCCCATCGGTGATGAGCTACAGATCAGCCACTAGAGGGCGGGTCTCTCCCATGCCCTGGCCAACAGGAGGCTGGAGCCCCCAAGGAAGGAGCTGGCCAGCTCATCTGCCCTGAGGAACACTGTCAAGCCTAATAAATGCCCTCAAATATTTGAAAGCCAGTCACTGGATAGAGGAATAAATTAGTCATGGAAGACAGTAGTAGGACTGAGTTGTTTTTTTTTTTTAATAAAAAAACACACAAAACTTCTAGCTGTGTGTATTGTGGCCCATGCCTGTAATCTGAGCACTTAGGAGGCTGAGGCAGTAGGATTGCAAATTCAAGGCTAGCCTGGACTAGCCTTGAGACTGTTTCAAAAATTCAAACAAATAAACAAAAAATTTCCTATAAATAATGGCTTTCAAATAACAGGACTATTTAAAAATAAAGTGAGTGGGCTTATGGTAGCCAGTGCATCTAGTGTTGGCAGTGACACCAGATGAGATGATGGAGTATCCACAACATGGGCCAATGTCAGACCACAAGAACTGAGGCCCTCCCACACTTATGAGAGGTACTGGGGAGCTCTGTCTTTTTGGAGGGAAGGAGACAGAGAAACAAGACGCAGGCGCAATGGACAAACTCTAAAGATGGAACCAAGGTGTGGGAAAGGATTTGGGTGAGCGGGGAATTATGGGATTGTCTTTGCTTCCCAGCTTGGCCTGGCTTTCAGAAGGTTCCCAATTGGGCATGCGTCACAGGTTATAATCCCTTCCCTTGCCCTAGCCCTAAGGCTGACCAATGCACTCTTCCCAGCTAGCCTCACCTGCGAAGGTCTTCGGGTGGTGGTACCCCTCGGCGCAGGTTTACCCACTGCTGTAGTTGGTTCATGGAGCTCTTGCGTTGGGCAATTTTGTCAGGGTTGTTGCGTGCTGCTGGAAAGCTCCGTCGATGCCCCGCATTCTCTCCATCCTGCGGCGGGAAAGCTGTGCTTCCTGGTCGACTTGGGGAGCTGTACTGCCAGCCATTGGGCTGAGCTGGCTGCTCTCCGCCCCCCGGGACCCTTGGGCCCTCGGGGTAAGGGCTGCCGGGCTCTGAGCCTGGTTCGGGTCCACCTGGGATGCCATTGGCTTTCACTAGAGGCTCCTTCTTGACTTCAGGCCTCTCAGGCTTCCGTTCTGCCTTCTCACAGCCTCGGCCATCACCTTCCCCCCGAGTCTTGGCCTCCAGCTCAGGCTTGGGGAGACAGTTGTGAGGTGGCTGTTGGTGGAGTTTGCTGGGTGGGATGTTCTCAGAGTCTGGCTTCTCGTGGCTGCAGGGTACCAAGCGAGATGTTATAAGTGACTCATCATGGAGTTGGGTGGGGAGGGCAGACTAGGAAGGAGAAGAGGAATGGGCAGGAAGGTAGCAGCAGAATCAAGATGCAGCCACTTCCGATCCTTGTTCCTAAATCCTAGGTTTTCTCTCCTTGCTCCAGCCTGGGCAATTAGTACACAACATGATAGTCCTGCCCTCAGGGTCTGCTCAGGTCATGCACTCTCTGCTGCTGCCCGTGTTGAGCATGGCCTTTACTATGGCTAAGACCAACCTCACCTGTCCTGCTCACCTCTGTTATCCTTCTTCAACCCAAACATAAGCGATGCCATAATGAAGTTTCATGGTAGTAACTGTGCTTAGCTACAGAGACTGGCTTTGGGCTCACATTCTTGCCTGCAGAAAGCTGCTTATCTCCCAAAACTTCAGGCTCCTCACTGACAGAATGAGTGTCACACACACACACACACACACACACACACACACATACACACACCCGTGCCCCAGAGAATGGCCAGTGAAACACAACAGACAGCAGGAACAGAAGTTGCTACTCTCAAATTCGTGAGTATGTACACACGGCCCCCTTCCCTTCTCTAAACGGGGATCCTTTCAGAACTGACTTTCTATTAGAATGCAGGCTCCACAAGGACATGGTGGTCTGTCCTCCCTGGTACACCCAGCACTTGGTATAGGATCTCACACATTTATAAGCACAGTAAGTATTTGTCAAATAAAAATCTGGGCATGGTGGCACAGGCTTCTAGGAAGCTAAAGCACACGGAGCACAAGCTTGTACTCAGCCTGGATAACTTAGCAACTTAATGAGACCCAGAGGGCAGGACAATGGTGTTGGGACGCAGATTAGTACAAAGGCTATGCAAAAATAAAAATCAATGAATAAATTGTGGAATGAATGAGGAACTTCTGTTCTTTCCTGACTTATTTTGCAGTGCTGGGACCCAGGGCTTTGGACATGCTCGGCAGGCACCCCGCTATCACGCTGCTTCCCAGCCCTCAAATGAACTGCAAGTGTACAAGTGGAGCCTTGTGACAATTTTCTCCCAATGGCTTCCTGAGGCTGCTAGGATTCAGGCTTCCCTGAGGAAACACTGCTGGATAAACATTTCTAAGACACATGGTTAGACTTGGAACCTATACTGCAAACCCCCCTCTTCTAGATCCCCATTAACACCTAACCCAAGGCTCCATACCCAGCTGGAGAAGGAGAGACAGGCTCTGAGACAGTGGGGATGGCAAGTGCTGAGAGCAGCCATATGCTGAGTATCTGCTACATGTCAAGTGCTTTACGTACACTGTGCCGTCCCCACAACAGCCCTGTGCAGGCAGCGTAATTGCTGGTCTGGAGGAAAGAAAGCTCGGGATCTGAGATTAAGTCACTTACACTGAGCCCCGACTGCAGCCAAGAGGCCACGCCATGATGCAAACCTGAGTCCACCTTCCTCCAAAGGCTATATCCTTAACATACAAAGCCAACAAGACATTGAGCATTGACTCTCACCTTTGGTTCCTGGCTGGGCCCTGGAGGAATTTGGCTTCTCTGTTGCTTCCCTCAGCTCAGAGAAAAGAGGAAAAACCCAGCAAGGCCAGAGACCTCAGGCTCTGCAACCTCCTACCCAGACCTTGTGTGAATATAAGGAGGTGGTGCCAAGCTCCTCAGGGGTTTGTGGCAGCACCTTGGGCTTAGCAACAGCGCCCCTCACCTCCCTCCCCTGCCAGGTATGCTGGTACTCACTTGTGACGCACAGGCTGGGACACAGACTTCTGGGCTGGAGGGATCTGTACCCGTGCAGCCTCCCCCATGGCCTGGATCCATGCCTCCTGCTCTTCGGGGCTCTCGGCACTGAAGAAGTAGGTGCGGACACCAGCATGCTCAGCCTGTGGGGAGAGGCAGTGCGTGGGCCTGGCCCTGGCCTCATCCACCCAGCACACAGTCACCTGCAGGGAGAGGACACCAACATCCGCAGGACAGGCAGTCAGTGGGGCTGCTCCTGGGCCTACAGCTCTCCCCCAGCTAGGCCTCAGGATCAAGGTGAGGGGAGCAATCCATGCCCAACCCATGGGCACCACAGGCATCCATGTATCTGCCTTGGTTAAGTCTTTAAACGCCAGCAGGCCACCCAGCAGCCCAACATGTCTACCTGCCCCACCTGAGGTGATCACAGGCAAGAGGGACAATTATCATACCCACTCACCCCTCTGATTCCACAAGTGGCAATTACCCGATGTCCAGGGGAGATGGCCCCCAGGCACATAGGAGTCCCAGCCCCAGCCTCATGGCTGAGAAACCAGCCCTGTCTCCTCCCCGCAGGCATGCAAGGGCGTACACTGGCATATAGATGGAGCACACTACCTAGTTGGCGGCTGGGAGCAGGCACAGCGGGAACCCAGAAGAGAGCTCCTGTCGGAGGAGGAGTCCTCACGTGGTCAAAAGGGGGAAAAGCAGAAACAGGTCAACCAACACCAGAGGGAAGGACAGCCGATGAGGCAGGAGATGGGGAGAAGCATGGGGTAGGGGGAAGGGGGGCCTCAGACTGTCTCTTCCATTGTCACTGTGGGGAAGGACAGATAACTACCCACAGTACCCTGCACAGCCCACAGCCCATCAAAGGGTGGGGCATGGAGTGCAGGCCCTAGAGGAGTCTGGGTAGGGAACCCCAGTATTAATCCTTGCTCTGTTTTTGGCCATCCTGGTGCTGCAGGCAAGTTGCTTTTTCACTGTGACCTTAACTGATGCACTGACTCAGTGGGGAGACCCAGTAACATACAAGGTTCTTCGGCTAGAAGCAACAGAGGCCACAGCTCTATATTTTTTCTGGGACCTCAGTCTGCTTTCCAGGTGAGACCCTCTAAATCCCCCAAAACCAGGCAGCCTGGTTTATGGCATTCAGTAGGAGAGACTGAGAGGTGATGATGTCTCAGGAGTGAGCCTCGTTCCAGCCTCTGATTTCCTCAGGTGCTAACCCAGGGCCAGGGACTAGCGGAAGAGGACCAGAGCTCATGGATGGCCTCAGCCACACCCTCAGACACATTCCCTGCCTGGCCTTCACGGGGTCCCTGAACTGTAGTCAGTACTGTCTCATCTCTCCTTTCCCACATGGATGGCCTCCTTCCTCTAGATCCTCCTGGCAGGTTCCCTCTCTTCAGCTGAGAGCTGAGATCAGTGTGAGAAAGGGCCAGGGAGGTGCTAATGGATGGCCAGCAATGCTGTGAGAGGACCAGGGGGACTTGAAAGGGCACAAGAGCAGAGCCCAGTGTCCAGCCAGCCTTATAGTGGAAAACACAGGCTGCTTGTAAAAGGCAGGAGACACGGGCAGGACAGGCAGCACAGCCTTGGTAGTGGGGGCAGGGAAGCGGGGGGAGCGGGGGCCAATGAATCCATTGATTCACTGAGTACCCAGCAAGCAGCCTGTGCGCACAGCTCACTTGGGGCACCAGGCACAAGAAAGGCCCAGGCACACTCTTGCACTTGAGCTCACGGTCACACGGGGGCAAAACATGCCATGGAAAACAAGGAGAAAACACAGGCCCAGGAACATGTGTTTGTGATGGGGGAGGCAGAGGGCCTGGGAAAAAATAGGCCTATTGATGGGCAGCAGGAGGGGCACTGGCTTGGAACTGTGAAAGAGGCCAGAGAACTGAGGAGATTCCCCGCAGACACAGGCTTCCTCGGCTGGGTTAGGAAGAGGTTAAGGCATTCAGCAGCAGCCTAGGCAGAACAGCTCCTGGCTCCTTATTATTCTCCATCTCCCAGTTTCACTTGGTGGCCCCAGCAGGACAAGCCTCCTATCTGTGTCTCAGCTCTCCTCCCTTCCCTGGTGAAGGGCCACTGAAAAGTCACAATTGGAATCCTTTGTGGGCCACAGAGCTGGACTCTAAAGGGGCAGTGCAAACCAGGACAAGGGACCGGTGGGCCCTTGGCTTTGGAACAGGGCTGTGTGTCAGCACTCTGAAGCTGTTTATCCGTGCTGGGCTGAGTGTCTCTCACAGGTCTGGGGGCAGGGGTGGCCAGGCTGTTTGATGGTGTGTGGGCGTGTGAGTGTATCCATGGACCGGAGGACTGTGTGTTGTCGGTTAAACAGCCTACTTCCCTCGCTAGAATACGGCTCCCTAGTGTCAGAGTTTTATTAATTGTTCATTATGTTCACACCTCTGGCACATGAGACCCTGGGAGGCCGAAAACTAATTATATGCCAAATAGGCCCCATCTAGTTCAGTGTGGCAAGACGTGTGTTTGCCACCCACCTCTTTTCTGTAGCCTGCTGCCCCGATCTGGACAGAGACAGCCCAGGGGCTTAGCTCCTGGCCTTGTATGACTCCAAGGTCCTATCACCTAACACCACAGCTTTGGTTTTAAGGGACTTGGACAGCAGTTTCCACTGAGAGAGGAAGGGAAGGCTCTGTCCTAAGAAATGCATAGCTGATGTTATATATTTGGAAAGCAAAAAGAAGTCTATAGTTTCTGCATCACAAAACATAAAAAGGGCATGGGATTTTTATAGTTTTTAATGGGTCATGAATTTTTAAATGTGGAAAAACACTGGCCTAGGATGAGCCAGCTGCAGGCAGATCTCTGCCGGGTGGGTCCCCCGGGGCGTCTGAGGGAGTGGCACTGAGCAGGCACAGAGTTCCACTTTCCCGGGCACTTGTTCTCTCCAACTGTTGTCTATGAAGTCTGCAACTCAGACTGGAATAAACTTCAACTCCTAATTTTCTCTAACGATTGAAATTGGGACCAAGGTGGGGAGAAGCCCTTCCCCAAAAAGATCTCAGAACCCCACCAGCCACAGGCTGCCTTTGTCAAGTGGGATCTCTCAGGCAGACCACTGGCAGGAGGCCCAATGCTTAGGACATAACTTTCTTTCCCAGCAAAGAACACGGCACTACTGAGGCACACCCCACCTGCCCTCAGGGGTCCTCAGGGGACCACTAAGAGAAGAGGAGAGGACCCAGCACAGTCTCAGCCTCACAGTGACCCACACTGAGCCCAGGGGCCAGTGCCTGTTCCCTCCTCCTTTAGTGGTACTTGGGATTTCTCAGAGAGATGCCCTTGACTCTTTCTATCCCCTCATGTCTGGAAGAGCAGGGTCCCTGCGCGTGATCCAAGAGAGGGGGCCCGACTGACCTTAAACGTATGCTTCCGGCTGATGTTGTCTGAGGGCTGAACAGCAGCGACCCGGAAGCTCAGGAGGGGAATGCTGCCCAGGATGCTCTCCTCCTTCTCATCTGCCAGGGACACAGGCATAGAGGGGGACACATGTGAACTCCTGGGGCCACCTACTGCTGCTCACATACCAGGGCCACATGCATTCTCCTGGAGTTGGGGTGGGGGACCCTCTGGATATGGTTTCAGATGCTGGACTGTAGAGAGGTCAGTAAGAGAGAAGTGGTGTCTCCCGGACCCGATCTGGGTGTTTATGTTCTGCTAACGCACAAACATACTCTCACAGCTTCTCCTTGAGGAGGTACTTTATTACCTCCATGGGATGGGAAGGAACTGAAGAGGCAGAGAAGCTAAGGAGTTTGTCTCAGGTCCCTCAGGTAGTCGGCAGTGGAACTGGTCTTTAAACCCAAGTAGCAGGACTCCAAAGCTAGCTGACCTCTATCCTCTCTACTATCCTGTCTACTAGATGGGACAATTCCAGCCAGGACACTTGCAGCAGGGGGATGGGATGAAACATAGGAGAAGGCACCTGCCCTCTTTCCACACTCTGGCTCCTCTGGGTTACCCAGCAACCTGCCTCAGACCCTTGGAGGGCTCTGCTCTCCCTCAGGAAACTGTGTCCTGTATCCCAGGGACCAGCTGACAATTGGACTGTCACACAACTCATTCAGGATCTGCACAGGAGCCTGAAGGCTTAGCCAGTCAGCCCAGCTGTCAGCAGGAAGCCAGACAGGACAGGGTACCCTGTGGGACAGATGGGGGACAAGCATGTGCCCCAGCAAGACCCTTACTTTTCTCTGGGATTACTATTTGTTCACTGGGCTGGAGACTCTGAAAGCTCTGTTCCTCCTCAAAAGGAAACAATGCATTTCCCGGCAGAATATAGGCTGGTGTTCAGGGGGTGATGTTGTGGTGTGGATGAAGAACTCAGGCTGAAATCTGATTCCCAAAGTAATGGGGTCAGAGGTGGCAAGTTTAAGGAGGGACAAAGTCCATCTCACAGCATGGGCTCCTCCTCTGGGGCAGGTCCTTATAAAGCGACACTACCCTCAGGTTTTGTCTCTTCCACATGCGCCTACTTGTCCTTCTGTTTCTGAGGCCCGCAGAGGCCAACCAGCAGCCAGCACCATGCTCTCTGCTCTTCCAACCTCCAGATCATGGGTCAAAACAAACCTCTCACCTTGATAAATTGCCCAGCAAGAGGAAAGGGATTACGATGAGGGTTGTTCCAAGGCCACAGTGTGTGGGACAGAGGTCCTCTTTGCTATACACCTTGCCTCTCCACTGTAGGGAGTAGGCTTCCCCTGACACCCGCCCAGCATCCACAACCCCTTCCTGACTTATTTCCTTAGGGGTCAGCTGGCCGCAATTCAGGGTCCAGGGGCAGCCAACACTTAGAGGGGTCCACCAGGTGCAACCTTTGTTTGCCAAAGTTAATGATTCACTAAATTGCTCTGTGGAGGCCTGAGCAAAGCAGAGCCCCACCTTCCCGGGGCAAGAACGCATACCAAACAGCTTCTCTTGCTTCTAGACCATTGCACCCTGTCTCTCCTTGTGCCCCATGCCTCCTCTTGTTCCAGGGTCTGCCAGGAGGCCACCAGTACTGTCAGCAGCCCTTGCTCCTGCCCTTCGTGCCTCCTGGACACACATCACTGTGTACATTTTATAATGACTTCCCAGAGGAGGCCACACAGTTATCTGATCTTGCCCTCTTCCTTTGGGGATGGTGGGTAGGAAGAACTAGGGGTGAGTGGGTGGAACCAGGGTGTTATTCACTTATTCAGGGTCAACTGGACGTCTATGGTGCACTGCACATTCTTTTGGGTACAGTGAACTCTGCAGTGAACAAAATTGGCAAAAACTCCTGCATTCCTGGATAACTGCCTACCCCAATAGGACAGAAGATTAACACCCAAGCCTCGATCAGTAGATGACCTCCCATTAGTAAATAGTGGCCTCCTCCTCATGCTTTTCCCCTCCTCTCTCCCATCTCCTTTGTTCACCACATGTCACCAGCTGGGACCCAGAACTCTGCCTGACACCTTGTAGGCATCAATTCAACATTGCTGACTAGCAACCGAATGAATGAGTGACTGTGTGAATATAAGCCGCACCCCACAGGTGCCAGGAACCATAATGGGAAGACCTCTCTGGCGATGCCCATCCAAGCAGGGCCTGGTGCCAAGGTAGGCTAAGAAGGAGCGGTGGCCCTGGACAAGCTCACCTTTGTAGTAGAAGAGGCAGCGGTCCACCAGCACAAACCAGCGCTTGTTCCACTGCTTCACCCCGGAGCTGGCCTGTAGGACACGTGGGAAGACAGATGTGAGGGACTGGGAGCGGGGTGTGCAGGAGGGGTGTGGCATGGTGAGGCCAGCACTGCCCTAATTATACACACGTCCAACCTGCAGTCACAACACTGCCACTAGATACGGCAGTATCAACCCCAACCAGAGAGCTCAGAGGCAGGGAACTCACATGAGATTACAGCCCATGACCTTCCCATTCTGTCACTATGAGGCTCAGGAACAAGAGATGAGCCAGAATGAGTGTGTAGAAAGGCAGAGGTGTAACAAGGTTAACTGGGGTGAGCAGGTGGACCTCCAACCCCCAGCACATCAAGAGGGACCTCCAAGGAATGAGCTAGTGGGCTGCTCCGATGGGGTTGGTGACCCAGTACCATTTTAAAGTCATTGTGTTTGCCCCTCAGAAACCCCACGAGGACTCCCACACCTGACAGACTATTCTGTGTGACTCGGGGAAGATTTTTAACTTTCCTGAGCTTTACATGAGGAGGGCCCTCATTCACAAGACAGTGGAAAGACACACCCAAAAATACATGCTGTGCCTTAAATACTGGAGAGCCACAAAGTTACGCACCCAGAGAGGTAGCTGTGGTGGGAGGAGTGGCAGGGTAGCCTCACCTGTTTGAAGAGCCAGCCTGCCTTAGTGACGGGGGCACTGGGGTTCCGCTTCATGGAGTGTGCACGCTTGCCAAAAGTGATGGCTTTGCGGGATGTCCGAGTTGCCTAGAGAAGCAGAGAGAGAATCTGGTCCTGCTTCGTGCCTCTCCCCCTTTGTACAAGAGAGCTACCTAGGGGCTGTAAGTTTCTTTCTTTCTTTTCTCTCTTTCTCATGCTGGGCCTGTGCACACTGGCACCGTACCGCTGAGCCCCATCCCCAGCCAGAGCTGCATCTCTCTAGCCCTTGCACTGAGGCCCAAGTGTGAATCTTGAATCTGTTACTGATTCACATGGTCTTTTGATTCTTTGGCTCCTCCTCTCATCTCTAAAATGGGCCTCAAGTCTGCGTGCAGTGGTGCACTCCTGTAATCCCAGCACTCGGGAGGCTGAGGCAGGAGGATCATTGCAAATTCAAGACCAGCCTGGGCTACAAAGTGAGTTCAAGGCCAGCCTGCACTGCAAGACTCTGTCTCAAAGAGACAAAAGATAAAATAAAATAAAATAAAATAAAATAAAATAGGCCTCAAAATAATAGTACTACCTATCAGCTTTCCTCTTCTTTTCTTTTTAAGAAAAATAAGATTTTTCATTTCAGTCCTGGCCTAGGTTTCCTTCACTCTCCATCCTGCCCACTCTCATCTCAGTGCTTCTGGGAATCCACACACCTGTAAGTGAATCGCCTACGTCACATCACATTGAGTCCTACCCAGTCTTCTGTACAGCGGCTCCTCAGTGCTACACAGACAATGCCATACTTCCACATTCTGGCAAAAGTCTGTCTTCCCTGAAGCACCACTGCCCGACCTCCTTTCCCATCACTTTCAGCTTCCGGATCATTCTCTTAGAAGTGATGGGAAAGGAGGTCGGGCAGTGGCACTTACAGGTGCATGGATTCCCAGAAGCACTGAGATGAGAGTGGGCAGGACGGAGAGTGAAGAAAACCTAGGCCAGGACTGAAATGAAAAATCTTATCTTAATCTTCACTATGTTTCTACCTCACTGAGAGCCCCGGTCCTGAGCCTGCCCTTTCTGTCTGATCTGTCAGCTACTTCCTGATTCTAGTTATTATCCTTCAAAAATGGACTCCAGAACGTCTGCCTAGGGTCTTTGTTTCATCTTTTCTGAAATCCATTATTCCAAATTAATCAAATTATCCCCATTCTCTGTACTCAAAGCCAGTTATGGTGCTGCTTGCAGAGGCGGGGGGGGGGGGACACTGCTGTACAGAGTGTACAGATGAGGTCACTGCAGACCCACAGCTCCCAACCCCACCTGCTGAGCCCAGACTGCTAGAGCTCCACCCTGCCCTACCGCTGCCCCATCCTCCAAACACCTCAGCCGCTCCTCTCCCCAAGGGGACCCAGCATCTCCACAGAGGAAACCCAAGGCATCAGACATGCATTTCCTCAATCTCACACCCTTTTACCTAGAAAATTACACCCTCAGCCGCTACCTTTGCCTGTTTCCCTCAATGCCAGAAGTCACCCTCCTTTCCAAGGATAACATGTCTGACCCAAGATCGCTTTGGAGACTTTGCCCCCTCCCAATCTGTCTTCAATGTGCCCTTCACCAGTGGCTGCTTCTCCCCAATGAGCACTCTCCAAGCTGTCTGTCTGTCTGTCTGTCTGTCTGTCTCTCCCACACTTCCACACCTTCTGCCCAGCTAAAGCAGAACCATCTCCCCTTCTCTTCAGGGGAGGCTACTGAAAAGACTCCTCTGCTTTCCTCCCCCACTCCAAAACCTCCTCTCCTTCATTCTGACCCAGCTCCTGCCATAACACTGAGTAGGTCACTCAGTCCTTGAGCGTGCTAACGGCCCAGCAATATTAACTTTCCATCCTCTCTGGCTCGTACTACTGTTTTCCTTTCGAAACCTCCTCTGCTGGCCGTTCCTTCTCAGTCTTTTTTCTACTCTGAGTGTTGGTGGACTTCAACTGAAGTTTTATTATTTTGCAAACTTTCTGTCTGTCTGTCTATTTTGTGGTGCTGGGATTGAACCCACAGCCTCATGCATGTGAGGCAAGTGCTTTACCACTGTACTACGTGTCCAGCTAGACTTTATCCTCTTACAACGGCTCAGCTCCATTCTTTCCTCTCAAATCCTACTGTGGTTTTCTTTTCTGTGTTCCTCATTTCTTCATGCTGTCCCTCCTGGGCAATGAACTGAGGTGATTTTGCCTCTCCCTTGCTTAAAATTTCTTACTAGCTTTCACCACTGAGGAGAGTTCTAAGTTCTCAGCACCCACTGAGGGCAGGCCTAGAAGCCCTGCCACACACCGACCCCCTCAGTCTCTCCCTCTCTCCTGTGTCCCAGCTGGCTGTACTCCCTCCCTGGGGAGGGCCTCTGTCTCTATCCACCCACAAACTCCCAGCTCGTCTCTCAAAGTGCAGCACAAATGCCTCCTCCTCCTTGAAATCTCTGTGATGTCTTTGAGCAGTCAGCGACCCCACCCTCGGCACATCTGTGCCGTCTATCACTTCTGTGTCCTTCATGAGCTCTTCTCAGTGAGGAGTATTTTTTTGCTCACTTTCATCAGTGGAGCCAGCAGGGTATCCAGCCATGATGAGTACTTAGCAAATATGGAAAAAACCAAACAAGTTGGGCTTTCCTAGAAAGCACCTGTACAACAACTGTAGGTAATACAATTGTTTTCTGGACATTCCTAGTGAAAATATCTACAGATACTGGCTGCGAATCACCACTTCAAGAAGTTATCACCTTCCCAAGGGTACACAAGTCCTAAAAGAAATCCTGCCCTCTGCTTTCAGGGTAACATGCCCGTATCACCTTTCTGTCTCCTCCTGTCCCCACTGCCCCAACATAGTTTTAGGCTATATCTTGGAAAATACAGGACAATGTTTCACATGGCCCTTGCTGGCCAGCATTTCTCTTTCCCCAACCTGCACCCCACCCAGTCCCTCCTTCCCACCAAATACACTACACCCCCTCTCTTCCTGCAAAAGTCAAGGACATAGGTAGGGCTGCCTTCAATTTCTAAGATACACACTTTGACTTCATATATAGTTTTTTCTTTTATTTTAATGCATCTCAGGATGAGGCATCATTTTCCCATCTAGAGTAAGAGCACAGCAACTGATTCCTGTCTCCTCTGAAACGTGGACGCCATCATGCTCTTCTGAACCCGATCTTTCCCCTCATGCCTCCAGCTAATCTACAAACCTGTCTGTCTTGCAGATGTATTTGCCAACCACACCCCTCCTTTTTCTTCACAGTCTGACTACAGCCTACCATAACCTACTAGGTATTTTATGAAGAACTAAACGAGAGGAGTTTTAAGGCTCAAAACATAAAAAAAGATGATATGGAAAGGGAAGCACTTATTTCCCTGACTGAACCACTGCATGTTGTATCTGCACATTGAACTGTCACACAAACCCCACAAATGGATGCAATCACTGCACGTTGTTTAAAAAATACAAATAAAAAGGTTTATAAAATATCTTCTTGAAATATTTCAAACATTTCAGAAAAGCAGAGAAAAATATAACATTCATTTCTTTACCTGGTTTTTCTCCCTAGTAAAACAAGGCAAGCAGAGTCAGTACCCACTCTGAGGCCCTCCTCAACCCCATTACCTCTCTCTTCCCTACCTTTCTCTTCCCTAGAGGCAACCACTGACCCAAAATTAGCCTCCCTGCCCATGGTTGGACATTGTTACAGCAAATGCTTCTAAAAATAAAGGGTACTGATTTTCATGTTTGTGCGTTTTACATAAGTGATACAGTTTTCATATTCTGAAACTTACAGAATCATGTTTTCAAGATGCCATACAGAACTAGTTCATTTTAATTTTTTGGAGAATATGTCACTATATTAATATATAACCATCTATGCCTAATTTCTAAGAACAGAAGTTTTTATTCCTCCCCCCAACCCCTTCTTTAACCCTCTTTAGCTTGTCTTTCAAGTGCCATATTGTCACAAAACTCAAGATCACTTTCAGCCCTGATCCTGCACCTCCTTGTAACATTCTTCCCTGGTGACTTCCTCCTCCTGAGATCACTATGGGCTTCATGGGAGTCTTCTTTTACTGTCCCCCTAGTCAGTGGCCCTCAATGAGAACAAGGTCATTTTATCCCTAGGGGACATTTGACAATGTCTAGATTACTCTGGCTTTCATAACTGGAAGCAGGGGTCCTACAGGCATTCAGTGGGCAGACGTCAGGGATGCTGCTAGACATCCCCATCCTACACTGGACAATACAGACCAGCAGCACCACGAATTATCCAGTCCCAAATGCTAATAGGGCTGAGGAGACAGGAGCTCAGGTTTGGATGATGGTCTTCCGTAAGCTTCTATAAGGTTCTGGTGTGAGGTCCCACCCCTTCCTACTCTGTGTTCACCTCCTAGACCACCTCACCTGCCTGCTGGAGCCTGTAGCTGGACAGGTAAGGATTTCCTAGGAATCCCTGAGATCTCACTAATCTGAGCTAGAGCCATTTCCTGTCTGACACTGCCCAGAAGGCTGGACTTACCCGGACATTGGGCCGCTCTGGAGGGACCTCGGACACCATGCTGTGGTTGACTATGTCATTGCTTGTGCTAGCAGGGCGTTTCCCACTTGTTTTATTGGACATGTCCAACGCCAATCTGATTTCAGGTTGACCAAAGGAAAGACACAAGTCAAAGCCAAGAAGCAACAGGAAAGCCCCATCCTTCTTCCCCACCCACCCTACCACCCACTGTTCCAGACCGGCACAGAACTCCATCCCCTGAATGCGACTGAGTGACCATCTCAGCAACCCCTTCATCTCTTCTGGGGTTAAATGCCAGACATTGTAGACATTCTCCTCTTTATTTTCTGCCATTTATTTAAAAAGGGCCATATCCTGGGACTTCAGAATTTCTTTTTCTTCTAATTTTAAGCTCACAATGTCTGAGTGCTCTATGAGAGTACAAGAGTCAATGCATTATCCTTTCATTCGGAGAGGCAGGATCCACATTAGAGGATGAGTTCGAGGAACGAGCTCCTGTGATTCTATCAGAGTCCCTCTATGCTGCTCACAGAGGCCACTGGTGCTGTGCCAATCTCTGACCTGGCTTTGACTCCTACAGTCCAAACATGAAAAGTGCCAGCCTGACTCAGCCAGATCGCAGAAAAAGCAGGTGAGGGTGTGGAGAAATGGTCTCAGAAGTTAGGTAAGCGACCCTAAATCTCTTTTTCCATTCCCTCACTACTCCTCTCCATGCCAGTTCCATGGTGGCAGTGGGATGGTGAAGTGGATGCCACCCCAAACAGGTAGGTGAAGGGTACACTTACGTTTTCAAATCAAATTTTTTGTTTTCCTCTAGGACCTGGCCGGTCACTGGGTGCCGAAATGTGTTCCGTCTTTCATTGTGGCTGTAGAGGAAACAGAGGGAGAAGTTGTGGTAAAGATATAGAAGGCAGAGACATGGTCTAAAGGGAAGGCACCTGGGGCAGGCACAGGGACTGGTGAGCATGTGACAAGCAGCACCTCTATCCTCTGTCAGGGACAGAAAGGAAAAGCAGGCTGCTGTAGAAGAAGCTGCAGGCAGGGCTGGGGAAGAAGAAATGACACCCTCTTATCAAAACTCAGTGTTAACACTTACTAGATACCCCAGGCTTAAATAGGCACTAACTAACTTGGTCAGCAGTCATCCTAGGTGTGGGCAGGAGGGTGAACTGCACGTTCAACACAGCCAGGTTTTCATGTGTGACAGCTTCTGCATGACAGTGTCTGCCAGAGCTCCACAGAAAAAAATGCTCTCTCATTATTTTCTGAAAGAACTCTCTTGTGACCTTGGACTCTGCCTCTCCCGCTTTATGCCTTATCTCCTTCTTTAAATGAAATGCAAGATCCAGAAACTCAGTCACACTTCTAGGCCAGGGTCTTCCTTCTGGATATGACAGAAACCTGGGCACTGTCAGGCATCAAGGTCAGCCCTGGCTGAACAGTTGGATGCAATCAAGGCTTGCTGTGGCCAGCAGTGGGTGGGGTGTTATGAGGATCAGCCTGCTGGGAAGCAGCGGGGTGCGGGAATCAGGGACAGGGGACACTGAGGAAGATGGAGAGTCAGATATGGAGGCTCCTTCCGGGAGGCCTGCTGAGGCTCTTTTGGCTGCTGAATGTCAGCCTATTTCCCTGGTGGACTCTCAGGCGTCATGGGCAGGGGGTGGTGCGGTGGGCCTAAGGCACGAATCACAGGCATGTGCGAGCTTGTGATTAAGGACGTCTGGAGAGAACATGTCCAGCCCATGGAGTGGTGTTTATGAGTTTCAAGGTCCTGGTCTCCCACCCTTCTAGAGAAATATTGTGAGAGCCCAGAGCAGGCTCCAGCTGACACTAAAAGCAAGCAGGGGGACAGGTACAGCTGAAATGGGCCACTTAAGCATCCCCAGCAAAAAGCCAGCTCTCTGCTCATCCTGCCATAGGCCCACCAGGGGAAGACTTTAGCTTGGTCCCTTTCACCACAGGAGAGATGCAAAATTAACCTTCTGGACACTTTTTTTCAATATCGCAGGCCACATGCCAGTCCTCAAGCTGTCTGTTGAAGCTAAAGATAATATCAAAGGGTATTTTTTTTTTCTGCTTCCAAACCAGTCCTGCTCAGATCTAATTCAAAAACATAGGGGATAGAAATGTAGCAGGCAGTAGCTGCAGCCTGGGTGGAAATCTGGGGTGTGCAGCCTGGGCTGGGCAGCCAGGATCCAAAATCTGAGCAGTGTCCATCGGGCTTGGGTCCTGACTTTAGCATACTGATAATCCATTCCCCACTTCCCGAACTACAGTCCCACTTGCCTCCCAACAAGGGTTCTCATCTTAATTTAATCACAAGGATCCAGGAAGGGCATTTGTTTTCAGTTACCCTTGTCTCTGGCTCTGCCCCCCTAGAGGTCTGGGGGACAGGTAGTTTGTGACAGCTGAAGTCTGTGAGGTGCTGAGCTCTTTGCTTTCACCTGCTGGCTTGGAACACCTGTCCCCCTCCCAACCTGTCCTGCCCCTCCAGACCCTCTGCACTGCTAGGAGGCTCCTGCAGACACACAGAGTGGCATGCACACAGTCTGCCGTCTGCCATCACGAGTCCACTCCCTGCCCCGCAGCCTCCTACCCAGCAACCCCTTCAAATGACGTGCTCCTTCCACCCCAGCACTACTAATTTCAAAACAGCTTTCCTTTTGCAGGCACTGCAATGCAGCAGCCGTTGACCTAACTACACTCTTCTCCCAGGTCAGTTCCAGCAGACCCCTCACTGAAAAGTTCCCAGATCCGAATGGGCTGAGGGGCCAGCTCGGCCTGCTCCGATTTCCAATCTACACAAGGAATCCCTACCTGACCCGGCGATCAGCCCGAAACTTCAACATCTTTTTGGCAGCTTGCTCCCCAGTTCGGCAGCCTCAGAGGACCCACCAGCCACCCAGCTGCTACCATCCCTCTGAGAAGTAAGTCTTCCGGTCCAACCCTAAATGCCGTGGCAGAGAAGCAGGCGAGTGACGGCAAGGAAACTCTGCAGGCTGCCTCTTCTTCCTGGCTCTGGCACTGGAGAACAGGGAGAGGGCTCCTGCTGGGTGGTGGTAGGGGTAGGTGTCCTGTTAGGCCTGCAGCATCTTAGCTTTCAGCTAGGATGCTACCCGGTCAGACGACCAAAGGCAGAATAAGCAAGGAGGGAATAGCATTCTCCTGGTTCATACTGCCAAGGACAAAATGCAGAAGAGAAGAGACAGGCGTGCACAGAGCAGGTGTGCCACTTCCAGGTAGTCCGACCTCACTGAGTTAAGGACACAGAGTAGCTGAGCGGGTGGAGGAGCACGGGGCTGCATTCCCATCTGCACGGCAGGAACTCCTGCCAGCCGGACCCGCAGGGAGACGGTGCTCCTGCCTCCTGGCTGCCAACCCCAGACACAGGCTCTGGAGCTGAAAGCCAACTTGCTTTTCAGAGACCCTTCAGAGCCTGTGACCACAAGGGTTAAAGGAAACTCCAGGTTCATGCGCTGTTACTGCTGCTGCGGAGATGAAATTAATTAAGGAAGTCTCCTTTCTTGTCTCAGCCTGCCTGGCCTTCTGTATAGATAAGAGCATAATGCATGAAGCGTCCTGGCAATTGGCCCCTTGCCACCCTCCCCTCAGACCGGGCAGCAGCTTGCTTGCCCTCTGCATGCAGTGGTCCCGCTGGTAGAGAGCTAGACACCACGGAGGCAGAGCATGGATGGGCATGGATGTTGTAGCATCAGCGTGGATGGAGAAGACTAAGCTCTTCTGCTCGGGTGAAATGCAGGGAATGCTTTCTCCCAGTGCTTCTGAGGCAGAAGGAAGCAAATGGGGTTTGGGGGTCACTGTATGTTTATTGCTGCAAATCTTCCAGATGCAAGATGATAAATTCCAGCTGGTGACTGTCAGATCTGCTCAGGAGCAAGGAATCTGCAGCGATGTTAATTCCCCTAAATTCTCCAGAGTCCAGATCCAGTCAAATCTCTTCCTTCCTTAACGGCCTCCATGTCCTAGGATCCTTGAACTGCAAGGCCTTCTGAAGGTCACCTGTCCCACTCCCCTCCCAGTAGGCAAGCCTGCTTTCTAATCAGTTCAGTGATTTGTAAAGGGTTCTAGCGAGGGAGGCTCCAAGACCTACTGTTTTCTTCCACTGCCGAGATACTGTTTGTTTGTTTTGATATCACATTTCAGTTCCCCTGGCTTTCTATAGCATTTCATTTTGTCTCCACATGACAGATCCCTTTCTGACCAATGTGGTTCTTTCTAGCTGCACCAGGCAAGCTGTTGACATCATAGTCTGTTGCCATGGTAATTTAGTGATATCACAACAGACACTGAAAGGGAGACTCTAATCAAATTTTCTGAATTAAGGACAGAACTTGGTCAGGGAACAATGCAATCAATGTATGAAAAAACAAATGGACAATATTATTACTTAACCCACCAAGGACAAGTTGGTTGGCCATAACTGGGGCCCAACAGCTGCTGATATTTAAACAGCTAATCCTAAATCCAGAAAGTCAATATATTTGGCCATTTAGCAAGACTCTTGCAAATGATTTATCCTGGTGGCAGGAAGCCTCCACTTTCAGATTGCACTCTCTTTCTGTCTTCAGTACCCTCCCGTGGCTATGGATTGCAGGCCCTCCAGAGTGAGGTCCCCGCCTGTGTACAGTAGGCGCTCAATAAATATTTGTTGGATGGATAAGTATATGAATAAAAGAAAGCCTCCACCCTCTGATTTAATTTTTAGCCACCTGCATCTGGAGTTTGATATTCTATTATCAAGAGCTTCCCTATCTTAGCTCTCTCTTAAAATTAATTACTTCCTCTCCATGAGACAAGCTCTACTTCTGCCCCCTGGTCCCCTCACTCAGCTTCCTTGCTTAGCTCCCCTCTGAATATATGGCTTGGCTTTGATCCATCTTCATTAGGAAGGGAAGAAAATTAAGCTCATCTGTATGGGAGGAGGAGTGGGCGGGGGTGCAGTGGGAAAATGAGTTTTCTTCCTCTAGGAAGCAAAAATATCCCCCTTCTCTTCAAGCTGAGCCCAGGGACCTCCCACAGCCTTTGCTTAAGTTACAAGTTAAATTACTTCTCCTATGCCCAGGGCAGACAGCATCAGGGAGTAGTAGGAAAGGAGGCTCAGCGGCTTCTCCTGCTCACTCAGAACTCTGATATCCTCAGGGTTAAACCAACACCCGACTACCTGTCTGGCGAGGGTTCTCCTTCACCACCAGACTGCACAGTATGACAGATTTTCGTTTTAGGGTAGATGGCAAGAAGAACTTCCAGGTGGAGAATATTATAAAGGGAAATAAGCATGGATAATCTGTTTTCTCGTTCCTCTGTCCTTCCTTCAGGGATATCAAAAGACTCCCATTTCTCAAGGACAAATGGTCATAAATTTCAACCCAAGCAAACCTCTCAAAGTCTACCCATGAAAATGGAAAACCTCAGGCAGACTTTGTGGTAGGAGCTGGACCATCCTTAAGCCCGGCAGTGGTCACTTATCTACTGGACCTACAAGGTGGCCCTGGCAGCAGGGTCATCGTTGCAGAGAGAACTTGGCAGGACCAGGCTTCCAGCGTGAGATCCAGCATGAATTGGCAATGTGACCTCACTCCTTTGGCCCTGAGTTTTCTCATGTGCAAATGAGGTATCTTCTAATTCTATGAAATAATGGCTGTACTTTTAAAATATGAAATGTTTAATGCGTTAGACAAAACGGCCATGATCCATCATTCTGCTTAAAAACAAATGAAGAAATATGCCAGGCACAGGGGCTAGAGTGTGAAAAACAGACTTAAGAAGGTCATGTTTGGGACAGGGCTGGGGGCTGAGAAGAGGCATTCCAGAAGTGCCAAGACCAATTCATTACCAAGAAAAGACAGAGCTTCTCTACTCTCCAGACCTCAGTCTTTCTACCACAGTGGGTTTTTCTACAACCCAAGACATCCTCACCACCTACACGTAGTAGACCTGGTGCTACACAGTTAAAAACATCAAAATCAGCCAGTCTTCGTGACCCTTTGCAGGCATGCCTGTTTGCATGGATGTTCACACATGTGTGTGCACACATACTTCCAGGCTGGATGCCCAGGGCCCCAACTCTGATAAATATTGAACAACTAGAGAAATACTCTTCATTTTTTCCAGCCTCTGGGCTCCCCCTGTTTATCTGCCCTGTACCAAGCTGCTTCATTTCCATAGCTCCCGGGAATCTGCTGACAGGGAATTAGTCCTGGCCTGACTTCCCCCTCCTGAGGACGCCAAGGTTTCTGGCATTACAGCTCATTAGGTGGAGGGAGGACTGCAGGGTGACTGGGGATGGGGGCTCCCACTTCTTTCTTCTCCCCACAAGCCAAGACTGTCCATGCTCTGGGAAGCATTCTGCAGCCCGCTGCTCCCCACCTTCTCCGTGGGATCCCATCACTATTATCAGGGAGACTTACCTGCTCCAGCATTCTACCCCAGTTAAAAACTAGGTTTACATCTGAAATCGCTTGATGGATCGCATTCCCAGAGCTCCTCCCCGAACCATCTCAGGGAGAAAATACAATTTTCCAGCCAACTTCACGCCCACCCCAAGTCTCTCCGCTTTCTCACCTATAGTTGTCACAAAAAGAGGAGGTGAAAGGGATAGAGCTTGGCAGCATCTCTAGGTATCTGCAGGTGGAAAGGAGCACGTGCATGTGCATGCGCGTGTGCGCACATGTGCGCGCGCGCGCGCACACACACACACACACACACACAGCCTCTCCTCTATGTGCATCTCCAGATCAAAACATCAGCTCCACGTGTGTAGAGACCAGCTGCCAGCCACTCTCTGCTGGTTGCTTTCCTGTCTTCTCTGCCCTTGCTCCATCCCTTCCTTTGATGCTATAGTTACTTCCAAAATGACAAGAATAAGGTGTGCTCCCCCAGGTAAGTTGGGAACACCCTAACATGTGAGCTAAGGGGCTGAGTGTCCAGGAGACAAGACCTGCTTACCTATGCTCATCCTCACAGCCCTCACCTCCAAACCAAAGGGTCAAGCACACCTTCCTCATGTGCTATGAATGCTGGGGGACATCCACCTGAGCTCAGGGATACCTCAGAGAGCAAAGAGGACTACCTTTGTGGACAGGCAGAGGGACTACCTTCAGGGGCCGGCCCACATTCCTTCTTTCCAGCCCATGCAGCTTCCCTTCTCAGTCTCATACTGTATTGCTACCCCTATATCTCCTGACTTGAGTTTCTGGATTTCCATGGGTGTGTGTATGTGTCTGTCTGTCCGTCTGTCTGTCTGTATCTCTCTACTACGAACTGAAGCCAGAGCTCTTGCATACAGGTAAGTGCTCTATCACTGAGTTATATCTGCAGCCCTTTATTTTATTTTATTTTATTTTATTTTGATACAGGGTTGCCAAGTTGCCCAGACTAACCCGGAATTTGCAATTCTCTGGCCTCACCTGCTGAGTAGCCAGGATTATGGATGTGTACCACCACACCAAGCTCTCCATGGTCTATTGCTACAATAGCAGGTGAAAAATCCCATGAGCAGGGTAAGGATATTATGAGCTCTTTAGTAAAAGTATTGGCCTTCTTCTCAAATGAGTGACAGGTGTGTGTAAGTGTGAGTGACACAGAATAAGTATGGCATTCAGGGAACTCCCTGCTGATCTTCTACCCTACCTCAAATTATCTTTAAGCTGATCTATTCTACTTAATGGAATTCTATTTGTATTCTGAAAAACAATAACTGGTATGAATAACACAACCACTCCAGTTATTAAAACATTGCTATTCCTCCCTGTTGGTTGGTAAAAGTTGCTCTTCCCTGACTTTCTGGTCAGTGTCCATGACATTGCCACTTTTCGTGACTCTGAGACTAAGGGGTTAAGCATGAGCCACAGGATGCAGCAGAATACAGACCAGTGTCCTTTCTGGCTGATAAATTATTGAACACCAATCCCAAGGGAGTGGCCTGACTTTAACTGCCTGAACACTGAGCCGTCTGCAGTTGGTCTGAACAGTTAGCCTATGATGACTCAGGGGTTGTCACCAGCAGGAGAGGGGGAATGGCCCCCCTGCTGTGGCCTTGCATGGAGAACTGAGGGGAGCCAGCTTCTGGAGCTATTCACCTTCTTTATGCTGAGAGTTCATTATTTTCCTGCTAAAGGGCGAGGTGATGCTGCCCCAGCCAACTCTGGATTCTCCTTCCCTCAGTAACCTCACAGTGCCTGAGCCAGACATGAGGCACAGAAAACAGTTCCCGCCCCTTCTCTCACTCAACCTCCAAGGTGCAAGGGAAGAGTCCCAAGGGTGCCAGGGCAGGGCAGTTAACTGTGTCTCCCTCAACTCTTAGCTGAATCCCCAATCCCTGCCCTTCAGAGGCTGACACAGCCCAGCTGTTTGCTTCTGGGTCTGCAGGAGGTCACTGGAACCATCTCTTCTCATTCCTAACTCAGCAGATCTGGTCCT